TGGCGGGGCAAGTTGGCCCCCTTGACGTCAACTGCGTTTTTTGTCAAATTTTGAGCCACCTGGCATTATATTTGAAAAATAATGACGTTGCATACGTAGCTTAGTTCATGGGGCTTACTTTGAAACCGGTTTTGATACTCTAACCCACTCCTAGTTGGCTCTACAAGGCCAAAAGTGTCTAACTGGGCCAACTAGCCCCGGTCTCCCCCTACTGATATTTGGCCCTTAAAACTTTGTCATATTTTTCTACTTGAAAATTATTTTTTTTACTTACAGGAAATAGAATGTTGACTTCAAGTTCCTGGTCGCAAGGTACCTACAACAGCCTATTAGGCCTACATGCCCTACCGTATCAAGGAAAACAGACATGGTAGGAAGGGTACTGGGATAGGGAAATTGGCTTGGCTTCAATATTGGACTCACTGCCTGTGTATTTATGGTTATTGACGATGTTAATTAACGACATATTTTATTTTTTCTGTTCACCAGAAGTCATGCCAATAACTGACTTTTTTCCAAAGCAGAAAAATAAATAACAAACAACACAAGAAAAAATATATACTAGTGAAGCCAGGATTCTATTAAAAGGCGGGGCACAAGAAGTTCATTTAGGCCTACTTCGCTTGGCTTGGCAGATGTTAAATAGTACTATTAAATAGGCTGTTGTAGGTACCTTGTGGCCAAGAACTTGAAGATACACTTGCTCACTTTCACCCCACCGTCATGCACAGCACTTTATACATTGATTGTGGTAGGAGTGAAAGTAATAGCTCTATCACTGTTTAACTCCTATGGGCCACCGTAGCGTTTCGTATCTATTCAAATTAAAGTTTCGCTAAAAACTTTTCCTATCATTCTAACCTGTATGATGTTTTTGGTACAGTAAATAATAAAAAGTTGTAAAAAAAATCGCAAAAGAATAAAATCCATGGATACATTTTTGCGGGAACCTTCTCATAACGTTGTGCACCTGTTGACCTAGCCTCTTTTGTTTTGAAGACAAGAAAAACATTCAGGGCATTCCAACATGGCGGGGTGCATGATGGACCGGTTCATAATGATTAGCGATATTCACCTTGTTAGGTAAGTGGAGACGTAATATAAATGCTTTTTATGGCATATATGTTCAGTGATAATAATGCATTTGGTATTTTTCATATTTGATTATTATTTAGAAATGTTGATCTACTCGATTGCCTGCAACTAAGGTTGCCACTGAATGATGTGTATGTTTGGCGTTGTCGCCCAGTCTGGGGTAAGGTTAATCATTTGTAGTGGATCCTCCAGTCATGCGTTTGTACACTAAAATGACTATCAGTGCGGAAAAAATATAAAGAATATCACCTAAAATCAACACCATACTATGTTTAAGCATTGGATTGTAGTGAGAATGAAAATGGCTATAAATCTGGATGAAAGAAATCCATGTTCCTCTTTTTTTTTTGCTTCAAGCACCGTTGCACTGTCGCTTTCTGTACAGATTTGAGATTGGATTAATGTGTGTGTATCTTATTTGTAGTTAGGGTGAAGACAATTCAATGTTTATTCTCTGTCTAGAGACACAAGATATTGTGGACTTCAAATTGAACATCAGTCACAGTTACAGCTGAAAATCTGAATAAATCAAGCCCCCCCCCCCGTCCCTTGTCTCAAGGGTTTCATCAAGTCTTTCAAAGTAGTCTCTCTGCTCACAAACCAAAGTCACTGCCGTGCACCAAATAGAAGTCTTTCACTGTATTCTTTGTTAGGGAAATTAAACTTCTCCAAGTAGCTACATATGTAGATGGACCTTTTCCTAGATTTTCTGTAAGGGTGATGATGAATAGAAGATCTATAGTTAAAAATGCTCATCACTTGTCTTATAAGAGGCAGGGCATGACATCATGAGCAGCAACACAACCTGACTGGCTGGCAAGCAGCCCAGGTGTGGAGTAATAACATATAATACTATGTCTTGTAAGGGAAAAGGTAAGTTGGAATTCCACCAATATTCCTTGGCACAGCCAAAGACAATGCATCCTGGTGAATTTAATTACCAGCTGAAAATTCTTTATTTTCTTCACTGTGTCACAACAGTGCATGAACTGTGCATTTCACCATCTGCTAGGAAGTCCAGTCAATCTGAATGAGCCACCCCCCCCTTGTAAGAACCTTCCGTTTTAATAATATTGATTTAGTTAAAATTCGTAGTTGATAAGCATGAACTTACCTTTGGTGTTAGACCAAAAAAAAAAAAAAAACATTGAATTGAAACGGAGTATAAGTTACTTCATCATTCTAATTGTGATATACCTAAAACTCTGCAATCTTATAACTGTGTGGTGACAGTTTCTTACCTTTTTAATTGCTGAGCACAGAATATGATTCAACTAAGTATTCCAGTGTTCACTGGCAGATGGGACACCAAACAGAATAGACTGGTTCCTTACTAGTAGGGTGAAATAAAAACTACTGATTTAGCTAGTAATAAATAATAATTTTTCCTAATTTATTTTTTTTAATATAATGGTCAGGTGAAATATAGATTCTGTCATTATCAAATTTCTTCCAAAGTCTCTCCAAGTTACTTGCCATACATAAAGAATAAATTTAGCTTCAGAAAAGCACTCATAGTGATGATAGTGCTCCATTTGTTCAGTCTGTCTAGGAATTGACCTTTATAAATCCCAGTTAATGAAGCTGGGTTGAATTTCAACTCTGACCATCACAGGTATATATCCACTTAGGTCAGATCTCTCCAGGTTACCATTACATGTCAGACCTTAGCAGTTTTATCTTAAGCAATATCAGAAGATCTAGGCACTGCCAGTTTAAGAACGAAGCTGCCTGGCTAGTAGTATTATTTTTGCTAAATGTCAATATGTATTATCTGACATATATATTGTGAGGTGGAACAGAACTTTTTAAGACTGTGATTATTTTAGTAATGAATGACTGTGTGACCAAAATAATTTCTGTTATCAATTTTTGATACAGCCAATAAATAGAACAAGACTGCCATATCAGTTTTAAAAATATATTTTATTAAAATCTAATAAAGGTCTGGATATAAGTGAGCCTTTAATACTTGGTTTATGTCTGGTAGCTCTGCCAGGACCATTGGTATGTAAATTGGAAGATGTTAGCTCATTTTTTGGTGTCTTTTAGTAGAGTAATTAGTTTTAAATTCCTTCTGAAATGTACAGGACTTAACTGACCAGTCATTTAGAATTTATTCATTTAATTAAAAACAGAATAAAGCATGGAATCTTAGTGCAGAGACAGGTCAAGCAATGAATTGTGAGTAGGAAAAAATTACCCCTTTCCCCTAGGAAAAGCCTCTATAGAGTACCTTAAAACTTGATTTCAATATTTAGAAGTTGAACCCAGGCTTGAGGTAATTGAAAACTGTTAAACAAAATTTCATCTGAATTTTATTCAAGTCAGAAATTCACTAACACTCCTTTGAGAGGACTTACATATTTACAATAAGCATCTTACATTCAGTTCTTACTGGTGGGTATTAGCATTAGTATTTTTATGAATCAATGAAGAATGGGGGAGTCAATATTGACACTGCAAGGTCATGGGGAACCACATTGTAGATGTGAAAATGCTAATACTAAATATATGTCATTTACTCTGCTGATAAGTCCCTCATTTGTTAAAAGGTCTTCAAAACGGTGTTTTGGTCATATCCAATGCCCTATTTTTCCCTGATATGTGATAAGTCTTTATTGGTGTTTTTTTTATATGTTCTTTTTTAACTACTGAGAAATAAAAGGTGTAAACATATATAACAAAGGAAACAAATAGTCTATGTATTTTTACATTTTTATGTACAGACACAGATGTGTCTGTACATATAGCCATCATCTGCGTCTGTCGTCGCCGTCGCCGTCGTCGCTGTCGTCGCCGTCGTCGCCGTCGTCGCCGTCGCCGTCGCTGTGCACTTTTACCGATAACACGATAAGTGGAAAACCNAAAATTGATGTAAATATTTGGTCATGTTTGGTTGTATTATCCACGTAAATAAAGGCTTGCCTCAACTTAATTGTATTTGGTAGTATTTATCAGGTGTGATGTTTTTTTAAAAATAAGTGTTAACATTATGGATTTTATTCTTGAAAAGTTTGGTTTTTTCGCAGCCCATTCTCATCATCTGTGTAGCAACTGTCTCCCATTAAGAATTAAATTAAGCTTAAGAAAATGGTAATGTTCCACCTGCAGTGTGACCATTTCTGTAGGCAGACAGACCTTTATGCAAAATAGCTTTATTTCTAAAGAAAAGTGAAATAAAATGTATGATATGAACAAGAAAAGAAGACACCTGTAACACATTTTTGCCCATTGACATACATATAAGTGTAAGTCATAAATCTTCTCAAATCAGCACCGTGACTGATAATGTAGAGAGATACAGGAATAATAAAACAGGTAATGGCATACTTTAGTGGCATTACTACAACCACTCATTTGTATTTCAGCCACACTCAAATGTAGCTGGGTGTTATGTATTTTTTTTTTATTCAGGTGGCAGCTTTAAAAGTTAATAAAACTGCCTTGGCTATGTGACTGATATCATGAAGTTTACTTTTCACTACATTTGAGTAGTCTGTGGCTGATTAACTAGTGCAGGCCCCTTTAGTGGTTGTGTTTTGTTACCATAGACATTAACTAAATGTCTTTTTAATCAGACTGTGCTTGGTTGTCAGAATTTATAGTGACGTGATGACAATTGAATTATCAGAAACTGAAGACTGCAGACTCAAACAAGCTTTCACTTAATGCCACCAGTCTGGATTTGTTAGATACTGGAGCTGATTTTATGTGACATCTATGGCGAAATAATGGCACCGTAAGAAAACAAGTATTAGTTCTCATCCAGTCTCACTCATCCTAGTGGGATGTTTGGTAATGCCCTGTGTATCCTGCGTTATCTGCCTTAAAATACTTTTGCTGCCAGTAGCTGAGGGGGTTATCTGTCCCAGGCCCACAGGTAGGAAGGAGACGGACCAAATCAAATTGAGTGTGCATATGGTAGGTCTGCTTTTAAGGCAGAGAGAATAGAGCACTGTCTGTATTGGTAAGATTGAATCTCTGATATAGATTGAGTAATGTCTAGGCTCATCCTACTGGAAAGGGGAAGGTTAAGCCGCGTGCTGGTCTCTCTCGTAAGAATAATCTGTGGACCATAAGGACTGTCTGACTTTTATCTTGTAGGTGCATTTTTATATCGCTATGGCTTCCTTTCTGTATCCATTTTGATAAGGTTTGTCATGCAGCCTAGAGCAATAACTGAGGCAGACAGTAGCTTATGGGAATACGGTTTGATAGGAATATAGTGGGAATATTATTGCTGTGTCCACTGTCTGAGTCATTTCTATTAGAAAATAAGTACTGGCAGTGTAGGTCAGGATTTTATGAGTTGGGAGCTGTGGGTATTGAAACTGCCAAACAGTACTCAAAAATTTCTATTGAAATGCAACATCTCAAGTTACAAAGCTGTTAAATTGGTTATTTTTTTACCCCTGCATAATCTGATCAGAAACTGATAATATTTCTTTTAGAAATGGGGATTTGGTTTATTCTTGATTTGGTAATCTGATTTAAGGGGGAAAAATTAAACTGTTGACAAAAGATAAACAGGTATTTGTTTGCAGAGAAAATTGGAAAACCCTGCTGTAACCAAAGTTTATATTTTATCTTCAACTTAGTTTACACCAGGTGAGCTATCTATTACATGGGGGGGAAAATAGGCTAATGCTGGGCGAGATTGTAAATTCATGCTAATCTTTTCTCATTTTCAGGTTGTAGCACAAGATGGGGAGGTTTATGGTGTACTCTGCCATAGTGTTTGCCTCTGTGCTGGTGTGCTACTATAACTCTCTAGGATGTGGCTTTGTGTTTGATGACGTCTCTGCCATCAAGGACAATAAAGACCTGCGACCTGAGACCCCCATAAGCAGTCTTTTTTGGAATGACTTCTGGGGGACTCCAATGCACAAGGCAAGTTGAAATACTGGAGTAAAAAACCAATACTGTGATATGACACTATGACAGTTTGAAGTTTTAAATTGCTCTTGTCATTCTTGTTTTTTTTATTCTTGTGCTAGTTGTTCTTCCATTGTTGTATACAAAATGATTTTGATACCTGAGTCATATCTTTCACAAATTCTTATTGTTAAGATTTTTTTTTCAACTTTTTCACAGGCATCTTGCGAATTAACTGAAATAGTCTTACTTATTTTTAAGTCTTTGATGAAATCATTATTTTTTCTGAGAATCATTTTTAAGCCATTTTGATAGATTATAACTAGTTATAAGATGAGAAAGTCTACTTGTATGTCACAGTTTAGGATCTCTAAGCTGTAAATTTTAAGAAAGTAAGTTGTTCACTGAATAATATACACTGGAATAGTATCCCAAAAGTTGCCACTTGCAGCATGTGGCCCTTGTTTAAGCCTACATATTGAGATTTTGTGACTTGTGCTGAATCCAAGCTGCCTTGTGCCACAGCTGCCACTGATCACTTCCTAGCCACAGGGCATTGACTTAATTCAGTTGCTCAAATCTGATTACCACTTTCACAATGGAGTGGAGTTCTCTGTCTGGCATTAGGAATTACTCTTTGGGCTTAAAATTACAGTTTTCTGTTGAAAACTAAATGGAAAACATCCACCCATGAAGGTGGTCCCTTTAAACTGGAGTCGTGGTCTTTTAAAAACAATTTTGTAGTGCATCGTTTTGAGCATCATTTTGTGCATTTTTATGAATTTTTTTTTTGTAATTTTTACTTATTTTGATAATGGAAGATATATAAAGCTTAAGTATGAACAGTGTTTTGAGGAATGGCAAAGAAATGGGTGGGTGGGGATAAAAGTATGCACAGGACATTTATCATGCTGTAAATAGATATATTAAGATGTAAACTGACTGGGACATTCAACACAGAAGCACTTTTTTCTTGTATTTGATATCAGCATGGCCAATTTATAGGACTATTTTGATAATCCCTCTGGTGTTATTTGAAATGCTATCATGTGAATAAACAAACTCATATATTGAGAGATAAAAAGCTATTAGAACTTTAAGTAATGGGTGAAAAACATTTTTTTATTCTTTCAGGAGCAGAGTCATAAGTCCTATCGGCCTCTATGTGTTCTCACCTTCAGACTGAACTATTTGATTAGTGGTTTGGAACCCATGAGCTACCATCTTGTCAATGTACTTCTACATGGGATAGTCTGTATTATGTTCATGAGGTAATGGAAAACTGCATTGATCACTTTGATGTTTTAATGTGTTTGGGGTCTACCATACATATTTTGGGATTTAGCCATTTTATTAACATTGGGACCCAAGTACTAGTAAACAATAAGCTTTCAGAAGTGATAAGGTATTTTTAAGCTGAAGGATAAATGAGTGATAATAACTTGAAAATTTTTCTCTTTTTATTTTTTTGTGTGGTGGTGGTGGTGGTTGGGAGGGGGAGGGTTATATTGCCTTATCTTTGTTTTACTCTAAAAATCTTTTATCTCATTTCCCTACAAATCTCAAAACAGAATATCAGGAAAAATTGGCACTATATTTTAACAATCCTAAAGCACATTTCCTAAGCTGTTTTTACACGAGTCATTCTAGTGACATATGACTGCTTAAATATCTCCTTTTGAGTAAGTTTCTGACATCCTAAAAAGACTCACAGTACAATTTAATAAGGAGAATAACACTTTATATAGCAAACTCTCTACCACATCTTGCCTTTTCACACCAAACACAATATTACTTGTCAGAGAATATCTGTGAAGCCATGAAGAGCTGTGGAAATATACAACGTAAACCTTCATTAAATTTTGTTCAGACACAAAAGTAAGAGGTATTTTTGAAATATCTTTTTAGAATGTGCATGCTGTTCCTGAGCGAGAAGATGAGCTTTGTGGCGGCCATGATGTTTGCAGTCCATCCAGTCCACACAGAGGCGGTGAGTGAAATTTCTCTTGGTTACTAAAACATCTTTAGACCAGATGAAATGAAAATTCATTACAAGCTGTATTTTTATGAAAATTGAGAACAAGTGATATTAAGAGTGAATATATCATAGCCTCATAGGTGTGTTAGTCAAATAATACTCCTTGAGTTTTCCAGTTTTCAGATAGTAGAAAAAGCACATATGTTTGAAATTTGTTAACTTACAGTTTACTAGTATTGAATGGTATTTTTATTTTTATTTTTTTTTTGTAAATTCATCTTGAACATTGAATATTTCAAAGTTATTGTAGAGGACAACAACATATTATAGAGAATAGAAAGAAAAAGGGTATTAATATGAAATCGATTCCTGTACCCAGGTCACTGGTGTGGTGGGTCGGGCAGAGACCCTGTCGTCTATCTTCTACCTTGCTGCATTCCTTACTTATACCAAGTGTACTGGCAGGAAAAGCATCACAGGTAAGCAGGCCCAGTGATACCATTGGGATGGAGCTGTGTAAAATACAGTAGTAGTTATCCAGAAGATGTACCTCTTTCTTATCTGCATGGTTATAGTCTTAGATTAGTTAATTCACTGAGTATTTCACAATTTGTGTGAAATAAAAAACTGTAACACCAATTTTAACAATTTGATACACTTGATTGTTTTTTAATTAAAATTTATTTTTCAGTTTGGAGCAAGCTTTACTTGACGTTGATGTTTGTAGCCGTGGCAATGTTGTGCAAGGAACAAGGCATCACTGTGATAGGAGTTTGCTGTGTTTATGAGGTCTTTATTGCTCAAAGAGTGAGTAGACACCAGAAAATACCCATAGTGAGCCTGTTGTTCCAGTTTATAAATTGGAAAATAATATAATAAAATGGATTTTCCCTGAAATAGCTTTGCTTCTCTTTTAATATCATGGAATTTGTTTAATTGTATTTAAAAAAATGAGAAATAATGATGATTTTTGTCTTTGGCATATGTTTGTAAAAATTTTGATATTTTAGAATGAGTAATATTATGTTACCAGATAGCAATCCATTTTTTTGGGTAGGGTGTACATTGGTAATTACTTGCTTTCAACTTATCTATATTGTTCACGTTTCAGATGACCTTGTCCCAGATTTTGTATATCCTCTCCTCTATTCTCCATGGCAAGCCCGTCTTTCCTCCCTGGCTCAGAGCAGCCACATTAAGAGCCTGCTTTCTAGTGGGCGGCACTCTCTTCTTACTCATTGCTAGGATCAAAGTCATGGGGGCACAGCTGCCTGTTTTTACAAGGTATGTATGGAAAATTATCTTTTTTTAAGTATCGGCAGTATGACAAAACATTAAATTTTAAATCATATTTCAAAGAAATGTTTAATCATATCTTATGTGATCATTTGTTGAATATTGATATATATATATAATATTTGAAGTCATTTTCAATGTACACTACCTTTTGTTGCAACAGCATTATCTGCATTTTATGCTGTTGCATCTTGTCTTCTCTTGGTATCCAATAAGCAGTGTTGTTTCACAATAAATTACACTAGTATGTAATTGGACAAAACAACTTGAAAACTTCTTTACAGTGTCATGTACTCTGCTGAAGCAGTCCACTAGCTATGTATAAAGTGTACATTTAACTGTTGATTGATGTAAGTTATTTGATGATAAGCTGAATATAAATTCATGGTCAGAAATAAGTTCAAAAAATTTTTTGTTTTGCATTTTCTCATATTTTTTCTGTTTTTTAAACCAATATTAACCTCTCTCTCTCTCTCTATCCCACAGGTTTGATAATCCTGCCTCAGTTGCCTCTACTCCAGACAGACAGCTCACCTTCAGCTACCTCCTGCCGGTCAACACCTGGCTCCTCCTCTGTCCATCCTACCTGTGCTGTGACTGGACAATGGGCACCATTCCATTGATCAAGTCTTTGTTGGACATCAGGAACTTAGCCACGGCAGCATTTTTTATATCTCTTGGAAAGCTTGTGCAATATGCTTTGACAGAGAATGGACCAAGAGCTAGAGCTGTGATCATGGTGAGATTATTTTCTTGTTGACTCCCATGCTAGAGCTTCTCAATATGTAAAGAGTTGCTTGTATTGGATGTGTTCAGCTGAGAAACACTCAGCTTCATCTCACCTAACACAATCAGCACAATCATACCAAAGTCTTTATCACACCCAGAGGTGTTCTTTAGGGATAAGGCTGTGCTTGTACACTTTGAGAAGTCCAGAGATATGCAATGATCAAAATTAATTCTGATATTTGTATTTAGCATTGGAGTTCATTTAGGGGACTCGCTTGCATAATAGTCAATCTATATTATTTTTCAAAGCATACTGATACAGCTATCTTGTGGAAGTATATCACTTGATGTGAAAAGGCCTCATGATTCTATGTCATCCCTAATTGAGAGTCAAAACTTCTTGCAGTTTATAAACCTAGTCTGCTGTAATTTTCAGGCTTTGAGTTTAGCATTCAACTGAAAATTGTCATCCATAAAAGAAAGAATATTAAGTAAATTATGACTAGTAATTATCTTAACAATGAATAATATGCATACTAAAAGCTTCTGTAGTGCAGTAGTTGACACCAGTAACATTTTTGCAACAGATCATTAAGTATTTGATTGAAATTTGTCACTTTCAGAGTCTTGCCTTTTTGGTGCTCCCATTTATTCCTGCCTCCAACTTGTTTTTCCCTGTGGGATTTGTTGTTGCTGAGAGAATACTCTACGCTCCTAGCATGGGCTTTTGCATGCTGACAGCCTTAGGATTTGACATTATATTGACAAAAGTGTAGGTATTTTTAAACTGTATATAAGGCTAACTATATTTTAGATAGATAGCTCGCAAAATTGGTGTGACACATGTGAACAGCTTTTCTAACCATGTCCCCAATAAAAACTTATGTAAAATCATTAAAAATTAATAATTATTAGTTAATGATGTTTAATTAAATGTTGTATTGTTGTTCCATACTGGATTGTTGATAATTATATAAGTTGAACGGCGCCATTTCAGCAATGTGAAGAGCTTACTCTGGGCAGCTATGGCCATGCTGTTGGTGACACATGGCTTGAGAACATATATCAGGAATAATGACTGGTAAGACAGCATTTTAATTTGGGATTATTATCAAAGTTCAAATTCACCCCTCTCTGTTACAGAAAAAAATGTGGACTGATTTAGATACAGTTTGGTTTGAATTTGAATAGTATTTGTTCAGTGCTTGACAGTAAACTAAATGGTACAGAGTGTCTATATGTTTGGTCTTTCAGGGAATCTGAATATACTCTATTTAAAGCAGCATTGAGGGTAAACCAAAATAATGCCAAACTGTACAATAATGTGGGCCATGCATTGGAAGCAGAAGAGAAGTATGAAGATGCACTCGGTTACTTTTTGAAGGCAGCAAGGTAAATATTTCCCCAAATTTGGACAAATTATACTTTGTATAATTTTGATGCACTTTATAAAAGATATTCCAAAGGGTTGACGGATTAACCCCTTGTTCTTAAAGTTAAAACAATGCCCTTCTTATCTCACAGTTTAATTTTGATCTCATTGAAATATCAAATCAATATTACCCAGACCAGTTTATAATCTAGTTATGACACATTTTTGATTTTGTCCATGTCTATTTTATCGGTTTCAAAGTAGCAGTCAAGTGCTCCATTAATATTATGTTCCAGTGTTCAGCCAGATGACATGGGTGCACACATCAACGTAGGAAGAACATATAATACTTTAAAGAGATTAGACGAAGCAGAAGCAGCTTTCAGAAGAGCTCTTAGACTTATGCCTTCACCTAAAGCTGGTATGTTTTTTTTTTCTTTTTTTTTTTTTGGGGGGGGATAATGATTAGCTTAAAATGTACAAAGAAATATAAGAATACTATAAATAAAGGCTTGTTTTTTGTGGCTGCATGTGATACACGTTGTCAGGGGGTGTCTGCAACATTTTATACTCTGTTTGTTTATTCTGAAAAGTCACTTTTGACCAATGCAAACTGAAATATTTATTTGAAAGTGTTTTTATGCGTCATTGATAATGCATTTATTGTTGCATAATGTCATTTTGACCCCCTCAGACAAGAAGCTGTTGAAATTACATAATTTGGAGTCTAGACATTTGCATACTATGATGTTTTGCGATAATGGTTGTTTATAAAACTTTCCATGTTCCACTTAACATGTTCTGTATTGCGATTCTGTTGTTGTTTTAGGCCAGAGTTACACTGCTCGCATAGCCCCCAACCACTTGAATGCCTTCCTTAATCTTGCCAATCTCATCTCACAAAATGAGTCACGGCTCCTGGAAGCAGATGCTGTAAGTTTTTTAATTAACTTTGTATTTTGTACATCAGTCAGTTTAATGAAATTGAATTCTGTTTGGATTTCTACCCCAGAGTTTTTTTTTTTATTATAATTCAAAAGAAAAAAGAAATAAAGGAAAAGAGATTTTTATTTGTTATATAATGCTGATGTATCTCAAATTCAGTAGTGCCTTTTGCTTTCAAGGTTAAATAAAATCTATTTTAAGATGCTTTTTTGTAAACACCCACTCTTTGTGCCGGTTCTCACAGACTACGGGAAGTGAAAACCTACATGACCTCTTGTCTCCAGGGGACCTCAGTAGATCAACCATGACCTTGACTTATTAGTTTAGTTTAAGTGCAAGGTGACAAATATCTTTTGCTCTACTCTAATGCATACTGTGAGGGAGGTTTATGATGATTTTTTCTTATGGCACAGCTGAGAACAAGAATACTCCAGTTATAGAAACCTGTCTGGTTTATCTTTACTTGTTTATTGATGCATTTTAAGAGACCTTGGCAGAGATTTTTGAAGTGGAAAAAATATTTAAGGAATTCTCCTGGTGCCACAGACACTTTTTCCCGCTTTCTGAACATCACAGCTGTGTTCTTAAGTCTGAAATACCCAAACAACACAATTTTAGATCAAAATTAATATTCACATGCAATTGGTATCATTTGATCTCAGATGCTGTTTTAGAAGGGGTAACAAAAGTTACTGTATTCTTTGCCTACTTCTGCACTATATGATATAGTGTAATATATTCTATATTCTGTAGTATAATATATTCTATATTCTATAGTATTGTATATTCTATAGTATAATATATTCTATATTCTATAGTATAATATATTCTATATTGTATTTCAGCTGTACAGAACTGCACTTAGTATGAGGTCTGACTACACACAGGGCTACATTAACAGGGGAGACATCTTGTTAAGACTAAACAGGTACAGGCTAGGAACAACAAGTTTCAAAAGTCAGGCTATATCCACCCTGAGTTTCAATAGATCTTGCCTTTATTATCAGCATTCCTCTACCATTCCCAGTATGTTTATGTTATCAGTATGCTCAATTTATTCCCATTGGCCTCTGAAACTCGGGGTGGGTGACATCCTGATATAATTACTACAGGTTCATACGACTATATGTTTTGTTGTAATTAAGTAGCTTAAAATGATAAGCGAAAAAAGAGAATATTGATATTAAGCGTTTAGTGAAATTTTGTGCATGAATAAAAGCCAAGGTGAATAAATTTAGACAGGTCAAACTTGTTAAGGTGAAAATGTCTATTTTCATTCATTTTGCATTTAGATGGAAATAACTTGTATTTGTGGTTATCTAGTGGAACTCTTTCACCATCCATCTAACCTGAATTTAATCTTCTTTATTTAATGTCTGTTTCTGATGTGCCATCTTGACTGTCAAGTTTTTAATTTTAGGATCAATACAGGTTTTTCAAAGGTACATTTATCCTATTATGTTTTAGAAACAAAAAAGGCGAAAAAAATCTGAATATAACTTTATTTTTAATTCCAGAACAAAGGAGGCAGAGAACCAGTATCTTACAGCATTAAAGTATGACAGTACCAATGCAGACATTTATTATAATGTAAGTTACCTTTTTACGATGGAATTAAGTGAGCAAAATATATGAATATTTATGCCGTATCAAATATATGTATAAAGATTATTGGGGGAAAATGATACTTAAATCATTCTGCAAAGTCTACTTCCTAGATGTAGTCACCAATTTCCAAAATCTGAAACTAATTACTGATTACTGACAAGTTGTATATGCAGCCCATATTAACTTTTAAAATTATTTCTTGATATTATTATTATAAATGCAAATAAGTGTATTGCTATTTCTTTAGCTTGGAGTTGTGTGCCTTGAGCAAAGCAGACATAAGGAATCCATGCGGTATTTTAACAAAGCTCTGGATATAAATCCTAAGCACAAGGTGAGGGGAAAACAAAATGTACCTCTTTTTGATAGTTTAAACTATTTGTCGAGTAGTATAGTCTGTCTAGTACCAAAAATCAGTGGTATTTTATCAATTTACTCTGGATGAACTGTATACTTTACTTTTTTTGTGATTTCAGCAAACCCTGTATAATTCAGCTGTGCTTATGCAAGAATCTGGAGATCCAAAACTACGCCCCGAAGCTTACAAAAGGTAACAGTTAATTTTTTTAGATATGGATTTATGTTTATTTTTTATGTATTTTTAGGAAAGGCTTTTACAAAATATTACTTTTACAGTTCTTCTCATTAAGTAATATTCACTGAAGATATTATAATATAATTCTTTGCAGGTTATTTAAATTGATGGAGATTGAGCCAGACAATGAGAAAATGTACTTTAACCTGGGGATGCTAGCAACAGATGATGGGGAGTTTGAGAAAGCAGAAACCTGGTTCAAGAGGGCCATTGAGGTAAGCTATGCAAATAAAAGGGTCAAGGGGAAAAAAGATCACAGCACAGCAAAGTAGTGTGTAACCCAAGAGTTTGAAAAAAAAAAAAGAAAACTGCACAACTGCCCAAAATTTTCATTATATAGCATAAGAAGTGAGCCTGTCGACCTTTAGCAAAGATGTTGACCTACAGCTGTTATGTTTTGCCTTCCCACCAGGCTTGAGTTAACAAAAACTGAAGGCCATTTCAGATTGTAACCATGAAAAAATCTGGTCCTGCACACACAACCACAAGTTGCCATACTTGGATGATTACATCCCGGGGGCTTCAAATTCTCTGTGTGGAAGTGTTGTGAAAGTATGTGTACAAAAATAGAACATTTTTGATGATGACAGTCTTGCTGCCTGGTATTTCTGCCATTTCAAATGACTAAAATAACTTTTGTTTGGTAAATGTTGGAATTACCCAATATTTCATTGCAGATAGACTTTGATGAGAAGTATTTCAGAAGCCTATGGCATGTTTCCTTCTCAGAGGAATATGTGATAAAGGATAAACTTGTGTTTGTCTTTCAACTTGATGGTTCCATGAATCTGAAAAACATGTAAAATGAACCTTATAAAAACACTATACTTCCATAATGCAAAACAGTGATAAATGTTTTTCTTTTCTTTTTTTTTTTTTTTTTNTTTAAAATTATTTCTTGATATTATTATTATAAATGCAAATAAGTGTATTGCTATTTCTTTAGCTTGGAGTTGTGTGCCTTGAGCAAAGCAGACATAAGGAATCCATGCGGTATTTTAACAAAGCTCTGGATATAAATCCTAAGCACAAGGTGAGGGGAAAACAAAATGTACCTCTTTTTGATAGTTTAAACTATTTGTCGAGTAGTATAGTCTGTCTAGTACCAAAAATCAGTGGTATTTTATCAATTTACTCTGGATGAACTGTATACTTTACTTTTTTTGTGATTTCAGCAAACCCTGTATAATTCAGCTGTGCTTATGCAAGAATCTGGAGATCCAAAACTACGCCCCGAAGCTTACAAAAGGTAACAGTTAATTTTTTTAGATATGGATTTATGTTTATTTTTTATGTATTTTTAGGAAAGGCTTTTACAAAATATTACTTTTACAGTTCTTCTGATTAAGTAATATTCACTGAAGATATTATAATATAATTCTTTGCAGGTTATTTAAATTGATGGAGATTGAGCCAGACAATGAGAAAATGTACTTTAACCTGGGGATGCTAGCAACAGATGATGGGGAGTTTGAGAAAGCAGAAACCTGGTTCAAGAGGGCCATTGAGGTAAGCTATGCAAATAAAAGGGTCAAGGGGAAAAAAGATCACAGCACAGCAAAGTAGTGTGTAACCCAAGAGTTTGAAAAAAAAAAAAGAAAACTGCACAACTGCCCAAAATTTTCATTATATAGCATAAGAAGTGAGCCTGTCGACCTTTAGCAAAGATGTTGACCTACAGCTGTTATGTTTTGCCTTCCCACCAGGCTTGAGTTAACAAAAACTGAAGGCCATTTCAGATTGTAACCATGAAAAAATCTGGTCCTGCACACACAACCACAAGTTGCCATACTTGGATGATTACATCCCGGGGGCTTCAAATTCTCTGTGTGGAAGTGTTGTGAAAGTATGTGTACAAAAATAGAACATTTTTGATGATGACAGTCTTGCTGCCTGGTATTTCTGCCATTTCAAATGACTAAAATAACTTTTGTTTGGTAAATGTTGGAATTACCCAATATTTCATTGCAGATAGACTTTGATGAGAAGTATTTCAGAAGCCTATGGCATGTTTCCTTCTCAGAGGAATATGTGATAAAGGATAAACTTTTGTTTGTCTTTCAACTTGATGGTTCCATGAATCTGAAAAACATGTAAAATGAACCTTATAAAAACACTATACTTCCATAATGCAAAACAGTGATAAATGTTTTTCTTTTCTTTTTTTTTTTTTTTTTGATGATTCACAAAATTGCTTTATGTTGTCTATATCTCTCAACATAATCTTACAAAAAAGGGAACAAAAGCCATGCCTCTGCAAATTAGAAATCCAAGACTAAAAAATAACAACGTTAAATTTTGATTGACTTTTCGCATCCTACACATTACAAAATGCATTTTCTAGTCCAGAATCTTAACTACCATCCAAATCTCAACTAGATTTCTCCCTATAAACAAAAAATTAAATTACTCTCATGCTTTATCCTAGGCACATCTGCTGCAGGCACTTTCTCACTTAATGATATGTCATCATTTTACCAAATTCATTTTAAAATGCATCTCACTTTTTTCCCCTTTTACTTCAGTTTCATACTGTTTTGTGGCATTATAATGGTGGACTTGTTGTGTCTGTAGATCACCAGATGTAACAATTGATCATCAGATGTAACATTTAAACTTACATTTAAACTTGACAGCCATAAAGCTCCATTCTCAGTGCAATATATGCACCAGAGAAATTCTGGACAGATAGTCTCAGGTGGCGCGCTCTGATGGGAGGATCGATGTCATTGGTTTGTATGGTATTTTTATCAAAGTTGCCACTGAATAACTGAAAGATGAAAAGTGACATGGAAATCTGAATTCAAAAGACAGCATATGCGAGAGATTTTCAGTGAGCATCTTAAATTCTAATTACCTGTGGCATATTTTACAGGCAGATTTGGGAAGAAGAAGACAGCAAAGATATTTGGTATCTTTCTGCATGTCATTTTGAGTATACTTATTGTCTTTATATATGAAATAAAAATAAAATGTCAAGATTTGCCTACAACTAGGAATACTTTGTTCAACTCTGATGTATATTACCCTTTACCAGGTCAAGAGTTATTATTATTATATAAACATTTTCTCAGGGGCCACCCTGTGACTTTTGGTCAGTTGGAAGCAATTAAATCTGCACGCGTGCAGGTGACATTGTACACGCTCCACAGGGGTTCAGTTAGAGGTGGGCTTCATGCAGATGTTATTAGCGCTCGTTACGCAACTTGTCTTGTCTTGTCTGTCTGCTGAAACCAGTCATGTAGTGTGAAGAAACATGCTGAAGAAACAAGCTATTCATCAGGGGCTGTTGTTGTTGTCACAGAAGAACAATTAACTGTCTTGATTGCTGTCACAGGGACTTGGCAGGGACTTGTTAAGTGGCAGTGCCTGAGTAGTTATGCAAATAATTACCAGCCATGTAATCATCCTTGAGATTTTCATTACAGAATCACAGTACAGAAAATAACTGTGAATTTAACCAGAGACATATTTGTGAATATTTAGTAAAAAATCTGTTGTCCTTGAGGAAGAAAACCAAAGTTGTGATTTATGCATGGTTACTTGTCAGGAATACACTTACTCTTATGATCCCACCAGGGGCATAAGTGGTCCACTGATAGCCATCCAGAGAGTAGTCTAATGTGTACTCTGTCACCCAGGATCCATATGGCCCTCCCTGGAAAGTAATAGTTAAAAACAATTGGGAAATTAAGTAAGTTTGCAAGGAAAATTGGGTTTAAAATAGAGGATTTTACTTTCTTGTCTTGTCCAGTGAAATTTCAATATTCCTGTAAAGATAAAATTCTTTATTTTCTGATAGTTTTACCCCCCCCCCCCAAAAAAAAAAAAAAAGGTAAGGCACTAAACAAGGGCATTTTGGATTCTTTTCTTGATCATATATCTTACTTCCTTGATATTTAAAAGATCTGTAAAGAACTCAAAATTTTAAGTCAATTATATTTAAAGGTATACTATCTCCATTTGAAAATGTTCAAAGTTATATTTTCTTATGCTTACATTTTCACCAAAACTACTTATCTTTCCCAATTTAGACCTAAAAAAATGATAAACCCCTCAAATAATTGTACATGTTGTTGGTATTTCCTACTGAGAAATACAAAAGGACCTGGCAGTCTGACCAGACATTTAGAACATAACTATTTGATTAGAAATGGCATTAAACATTGAATCCAAGTGTAGAGATGGGCCAAACAGTGATTTGTAAGAAAGAAAAAAATGCTTTTTTCTTCAGAAAAATCCCCAATAGGATACTTTCAATTATTTAACTGCTGTTCTGCCGAGACCTGACTGACCTGTGTGGCCACAGCACTGACCAAGTAAAGGTCACCTAAGATGACCTGAAACCACTGTGACCCCTGTGTCCAGCCTGCTAGGGACAGTTTTTCCGTGTACCAGCCATAAGTATTGTTCAGCCGGCCATTTTTGGGAACAAAAAAATTACTGAAAACGCTGCTGCCAATTAGATTCTCATCTGGGATAGCTCCGTTTTGCATTCCAAGGGCCGTGGGCTGACACCTGGTGGACAAAAAGAAGAGTAGAGAACAGAATAGGACCTGTAGATCAAATTTATAGCTTCATTTAGGTTTAATGTTTGTCTGGACAATGCTACCACAATTATATGGTATCAAACCTGAATTGTTTGTTGAATTAGGTATTTTTCGTCTTGTCAGTTTGACTGGACTTATGATTTTGGCTGTTCGGCTGAACTACAGGCATTTGATTTATAGAATTAAAAAAAAAACAGGTATCTCTTATTTCATTGACTGTGACAGGCCATTTCCTTTTTCAGTTGGCACCAACTAGGTTTTTGGCCAGGTGGTTAAAGTCAGTAATATTGTAAGAAGTGAAAGGAAACCTCAATGAACCAAAACACTTTGTCACTGGGCCTACCTGAAAGTCAATGGAGCAACTTAAAAAGCAAATTAACAAATTAAAATAAACACTAATGAGAAATGTGAATTTCAAATAGAAAACAAATTAATTGTGGATCATTTTTTTTAAATAAAAGAATTAAAGCTAAGATATTTTATTGCTATTTCAATTTGAATTTCAATAAATTTTGTAGCGTTTCTCTGTTCAGAAGATAAGTGGACGGCAGTTGTTCTTTTTTCTAATGAGTAACTTGTAGCCCTGTATTGCCTGCAGTGCATAGCCTTGCTGCAGAGTGCTAATAGGTAGTTTTCACAGAAACTGTAAAATTAGACACCAAGTGGTATTTTCTGCTGTTTGCTCACAGCTTCGCTTGTTGAGATATCATTATCTTTGTTGCCAAAAAATAACAGTGGCTGGAGAAAATGATATTTCTAGGTTTTAGGGTAGTAAGTACATGGCAAAAAGTTTGGTCCATTCTTTTGGAATTATGTTTATAAGTCTGAATATCAGAAGTGACTATGTTTAAGAAGAATGTTATATAGTTGTGTTATAAAGTATATTATTTAACAAAACAAATTTTTTGTGTGTACTTCTTACCTCGTTGGAAATCCACAAAACTTTAACTGAAGTTTCAAGTCTAAGTTTGTATTTCCAAAGTTGCACAAGAAAGGGTTACAGTTGGAGTCATTGGCTATAGTCTTCAAGTAGCCGAGCACACTTTGATAGGGTGTCAGTGTCGCCCCTTCAGAAATCAGCAGTGTCAGGAGACAAGTGACACTACGGACCTCCTCTAACTCTGAGCTCAGCTGCTGGTTTCCTGGCTCTTGAACATTGCCAGCTACTGTCTGGTTGATAGTTTCAGTGTGGTTCCTTGTATCATTGTTCATTGTGAGAAGTTTGTCAATTCTTCTGTTCACAGTGAGTAAATCTGATTGTATTTGTGTGTTCTCTTCATGATGAGTTTGCTGAAGGAGGCTCATGTTTGATTGGATTTCACTGGAAATAAGTTGCATCTGTAGAAGTTTGTCTTGCTGTCGAATGACAATTGAGGATAATCTAGCTTGCTCAGATTTGGTAGTGTTAAGGGTTGCTGAATGTTCAGCAATGATGTCTTCAGCTTTCTGTAAATTAGCGTTGCTGTCTTGAAGGGAAGTATTTAAATTCATAAGTGAATTATTCAGTGATCCCCACAGGTTGTCATAGCTTTCCTTTTGTTTAATCGAGATATTGACAATATTTCTTTGTAGAGAGGACACTTTTTCTTTGATCCGCTGTAATGTGGAATTTTGATGGTCAGAGCTGTTTTTGAGTTTTGCCGTAGAAGCTTGCAATGTAATTTGTTGAAATTTTGCAGTGGATAGTTCTTGGGCCATATTGAGATTCTCTTGCTTTTGCTGGCTCAGCGTGTCCTCCAGTTGCTCAATTTGTTGTTTTAGAAGAGTCCAGTTAGAACTGATATTCTCTAAAGTGTTAATTGTAGCTTGCAAGCGTTCTTGTATTGTGATCAGGGAATGGTTCATCTCAGTTAACCCCACATCTAATACCCCTAGCTCTGCAGAACAAGTTGAGTTGATAATCTGAGCCTTGTTCTCTAGACTTAATTGCCCCTGGCGCACATCTCTAAGGCCATGGGACAGTGCTTGGAGATCACTTTCAGCTCCTCGTAGTGCCTGGAATATTTTGCTCAGTGATACGTTGTGTTGGTGATAGTTGTGCTCGCTTGAGTGCATCGCTCTTAGTAACTGTCCCACGGTGCCATTCATATGGTCGATATTTGCCACACTGATTGTTACGTTTTTCATTATATCACCTTCCATATGCTGCATGTGTTCCATAGATTCACTGTGAAGTTCAACGATAGCACTCAAGTTTGCCAGTTTTTTCTCAATTGCTGCTATTTGTGTTTCCGTTTGCTGTTTTTCATTATGCCAATTTTTTGCTGCATTGGTAAAATTTCCCTTGAGACTTATTATGTCATCTTGAATTTCCTCTCCCTTTCTCTGGAACAAATTTTCATTTTTCTGAAGCCTGGTGTTGAATGCCTGGAAAGATTGATCAATTTCGTCTTGAAAAGGACAAGTTTGTGAGCATGTCTCCAAAAATGCAGGTGAGTTGACGGTGGGTTGAGATCGGCATATGGAACAGATGCTCAAACAAATGAGCACACCTTGGAATGACACTGGAAAACCTGGAGACATCATGCTAACACCTCGCCTTGCAAACTCGAACTGTTGCTACATGTGCAGGTTATTTTGACTGCACCTCCACTTTGGGAAATAAGAAAAATAATCCTCAGGCAATTTATAGTCTTTCATTTATTACTTAATTTCCTTTCAAGGCAAAATAGTTGGTTATCCCAGTCTCCCCATTGCTGAAGACGATTGGTGGAAAGTCTGTGACATCATGTCTGTTTGAAAACCAAGACAACTTTACAGGGGGAACCTTGCTCACCATCTAATTTTCATTTAATTTGTTACTTTCTGTGTTTAGAAAAAAATTAAAATTACGTAATTGTTGCAAAAAGTTAAGATTGTGAATAAGGAAATTTGATATGCTTTTTCTTTTGATTCTTTACTGAATTATCTGGGGACTTTCTAAAATGCTATTCTACACGCCCCAAAAGCAGCTTTCCTCTCCCATCCAATTATCATGCAGCATTTGTCTGGTTTTCGCCTCCTATGGGGCAGCAACAATCACATGCTCTTATCCCTGTTTTTGTGATGTTACTGATATGTGCTCCTTATTGAATAGACTTGACCAAACAACTGGAGTTTTCTTTCAAGGTTTTTTTGAGGAGTGATGGCCCTTACAAGTAGTTAAAAACCATGGGAAGCAGATGGTGCTGTGGTTGTGTATAAAAAAAAGCATTTCTGCCACCATAAAGTAGCTGTGACAGTGCACAGAGTACATTACAGTGTCTTGATAAAATCTGCTGAGTGCATCAGAACTTTTTGGTATAGAATGTAAACTCAGTAATTAGATTATAGGGACAATAATGCCATACCTTAGTCTGCAGTTATCCATACCCAGCAGGTACCATTCTTCACCCGAAAAAAACTTTTTGATAATATTTCACAATGATGATACTTAAGTGAGGTTTTATCTTAAAGAAATGTCTTAATTAGGCCAAAACTGAGTTTGATCGAATGAGAATGTGAATTGATTGAATGTTTACTGCAGATGAAGTTATGCTCGGGTGACATTTGTTTGGCAACAATAAAAATAAAAGGTAGCAAACGTTTATCTTCACAATTTGTATCAATAGATGTAATAATTGTGATCCTAAAAAGATCTGGATAATCCTTTTGATTCAAAGCCAAAATCCTAAAATAACTGCAAGATAGATAAACTTGTATATTTTACCAAATTAACATGGGAAAGCTAATGGTTTGAAAGAAGGGAGATAACTTGATTGTTGCTTATGTCCCCACATTTCTGTCATTCTTTGTAAGTTTTGCTGCAACTTGAGCCCAGTTTGGGACAAAAAATGACAATAATGTCTAGCAAAAATACTGAGTGGACTTCTGTTTCAATACATAGTTTAAGAAATTGTAAAGGTTGGAATATTTATGGCATAAACAGTTGTGCTCTTTTTTTTTCCAGCTCCAAGACAATTTTCGTGGTGCCTTGTTCAACCTTGCCCTACTCCTGGCGAATGATGTGAAGAGGCCTTTAGATGCAGTGCCATATTTGAAGAAACTTCTCCAGGTTAGTAATCAAATTTTCCTCATATTTTAAGGTGGAGAAAAAAAGATCAAGGATGCATCATGTAAATAAAATTCTAAAAATAATTGCAAAGTTCAAAGTTAAATGGTTTTTCTGTTAATGTTTGAAACAAGCGGGAGAAAAAAGACAAATTTAAAGCAGAAAAATTTTACAATACAGAAGTTTTGTAATATCTTACAATATTTCATTATTTTCATGTCTTTTTTTGTTTACCATGTGACACTAGTGATCGCCACATACCCCAAATTTTTTAAGTTGCTTGTGTAACATGTTTAAACCATTTTTTTTCTTCTTAATATATAATATCATAAATTTTGGTGCTACATTTAGGGTCAAAACAGCGGTAACTACAGAGTACCCACTTTGTGTCCTAGCCATTATCCACAGCTTTCAGACATATCTGTTGATGTAATGTGACAGCAAAACTTGACTTAGCCATTTGTTTTGAAGCATCATGTAGTGTTCAACAAAAATATGCAATATGTGGTCTGAACATTTGAAAAAAAAAAAAAAAATAAGACCCTGTTTCAAATGTGCTTTGTTATTTATATCACCGTAATGTATATGAATTTTTTTCTTTTTTCTTTTTTTTCTTTGCTACCTAGTAAATTATATTGTTTTTCTTATGCTGGGTCTCACTTCATGATGTCTTCATCCCTTTATAACTATAATGAGAAGTGATGATTTTAGGCATTGAATTGTGAAACAATCTTCTAATGAAGATACTGTCCAATTGTTTTCTACTTTAAAAATAATGTCTGTCTATTAACCTAGCCATTGTTTTCATGTTTTTTTTCTTTATTTTCAGTACTACCCTGACCATACCAAAGGTCTGATCTTAATGGGAGATATCAACATCAATCATCTCAAAGACATTAGAGGAGCAGAAGAGGTCTGTATATCTTATGTATTGTACATGATGTGAATTATTTTTATGAACAGTGATCTGAATATTGTCACTGCTTGTAGCTTTTAAAAAGAAGAAAGAATTGATGGAAGCTCATTTAAAAAACACTAAGAGTTAGTTGTTTATCTCTCTGTATTCTGTGTCAGTTAATGGTTCTGGATTTAAATGAAGTTTATTTCCCCAATTGATTTGTGTAGCATTGCAGCTAATAATCTTTCATACTTTTTTCTTTGCTAGAATTTCAAGAAGATTTTAGAAACAGACCCCACCAATGTGCAAGCTAACCACAACCTCTGTGTGGTTTATGTTGAGCAGGGAGATTTACTAAAGGCAGAGAAGTGCCTCGTAGAGACAGTCAAATTAGCACCCAATGAGAAATATATACAAGACCATTTAAGTATTGTTAGAGGTAGACTTCAGAAAGCATATCAGCAGATGAAAGCGCAGCAGCAGCAAGCAAAGAAGAAACCAGTTACATGACAACAAATTAAGTCCAGAAATTCATCAAACAGTTCGGCTTTACATTGACCAGCTCATGAATAATTTGGGTGAGAACACTTATCAACACCGTTGTTGAAAACAAATGAGATTCAGACATTCTGGAGATTGTGTGAGTTCCATGAACTACAACGAAGACAACTGTCTCATCTTGCCATGATCTACAAAGCAGCAGGTCTACAAGTCTTATTCCCTCCAGTGTTACATATATATTAACTTGGCACACACTCGTGCAGTGACATAAGCCAGCTTGGAGGCAATTACAACACCAAATGAAGTGCTCTCTTTGTAGGGAATGTTGTAGAAGGCATCAGATTCCCTCCTTGGCTGTGTTTTCTTGCCAGCACCACTCTTACCAGCCAGTCTCTGAGACACAAGGGGTGTAGTTACAGGTCAACAATGTCAATTTGTTTCTATTAGGTTTGTACATGTAGGGCTGTTGTTAGGCCTACTGACTGTTTGGAACTACTCGAGTATGTTGATTAAATGAAAGTTCTTTATTTTTTTGGCAGAAAAATTTGAATGGATATTGTAACCAAATTAGTGTAGAATATGAGACACAAAAGGATCATGGTGGAAAAATGATGCAGCAAAATATCTACATGGTGGTAGTATTGGATGTCTTTCCACCCAAGTGGTGGGACTTTGATGTATTCACACAGTGCCAAAACAAAGAGAAAAAAGACAGCATTATCTGTGTGAAGGCTGAATTACATGGCTAGGTTACTCTCAGTTCAAGTGGTCCGATATGTTGTCTGAATAGTATTACAACTTATACATAAGAATCATTATCTTGCATTATGGGTTCTAGGGTATGATAGGCCTCGAAAAGGTAGACGTGGATTTTTTTTTTTTTTTTTTGTCTTCCATTACTCTGAGGTGGCTTATTTTGATTTGATGTAAACACTTAAAGAGGGAGTATAAAATGCATACAATATGTTCATGGTATGATAAGAGGCGGATGCAAATTACATTATGTTCTGGGTGGAATAAAAGCAAATCAATGCCTAGTTAACCACTTCCTTACACAAGAGAAGGGAGTTGTATCAGGATTATTTAGTAAGCTGATGAATTGATTCTGCATTTTTTGTTTGTGAACAAACCAATGAGGATTCATGTTAAAATCACTGTATAGATCTTGATAAAAATAGAAGTATATATATTGATGCACCTTGAAAGATCTACATTATAGTTGTTAAACTTATTATAGTTGTTGACTGTATTTAACAACTATAATGTAGATCTTTCAAGGTGCATCAATATATATATACTTCTATGAACAAACCGATGTGACATTTAGATTGCACAAAAGAAGAAAAACTAAATTTAGCATATGGTGTCTTATTTTGCAACTTAAGTGTTCCTTATTTTGTGATTTTGACTAATGTTCTGATGCTGAATTTAAACATTAAAATCAGTGTCAAGGACCAGGACAGTGCAATGGCATCTTTACGACCTACATTTTATTAAACCAAGGCATACATTCCAATGAGAAGGCTGGATGGAGGGATGTATTCATTTTATCAAGGGTCCATGAAGTGGATTCTCCATTTTATATTTTGACTGTATAAATTTTGTAATTTTTACCCTGGGCAAGTGGTCAGAGATCACCTTGTTTTTAATTTTTGGAGTAATATGACAACAGTCCATCTTGCTGCTGTAGTTCCAAGTTAAGAGACTGAAATATTATTGTAGTTTTAATCATTTGACTTTAGAAGTCATAAATAGTCAGACAAATGCAAATTTAGTTCTTCTCAGTTGAAGTTGTCTTTTGGACCTCGTTTTAGAAAATCTGTTGAGGTTTGCAGGAGCAGGTGTCCTAAGGTTTCAGGTCCTACCCAGATTCTAATTTTCATGGTGTAGATGCAGTGAATGTGATAAGTTTATGTATTTAAGGTTGTTATGTAGTTGTGCTCATTATATTTTTTATTAGCGATGACGTTTTTTCTAGGATTCTCGAAACAATTAAGTACCCTAACATATTGTTAATTGAATCCTTTTTATTGTCAGGGGGCATATTCCATATATGTAATATAGTTTCTTCTTCTTCCAATCCCAGTAGATAAAGAACAGATAAATTAGTATTTTATGGTATGCCTGTGTTACAAGTTTTGTGGAATGCTGTGTGTTCAAATAATTTTTCCTCAAGACAAGTATATATGACTAAACACTGATTTTAATTGTATGACAACCAGAGCAATGTGACTTTTGTGTATAGCCAATGTACAAATGATTAATATCTCTTACTTAAGTTATTTTCAAATTATATGTGCTATTTTCTGCAATATCAATTTCAGTTGAGAATCTTTAAAATATTAGTTAGACTTAAGACTTTTTAGTTTTGGCTAGGGCCTAGCCTGAATCGTTTTATAGTGCAGTTTTTCTTCATAATGTGTTGATCCACATGGAACTGAACTTGTGATACAATATCTTAAATGTTTCTTGCATAAACAAATTTATTATTGATAGAAGTTCTTTTCAATATTAAAACTCTAAAATCTCTTGCCATTTACTTTTAGCCCCATGCATAATAAATGCAGTAAATAGAAAATCAGACATTTCAGAAAGGTATCCTTATTATTTGAAATAAACACATGACTGTCTTATGTTAAATAGTTGTTACTTTAATAAATGTTTAAAAGGTTACATAAGACCAGTTGGGCCAGTTACATGGCCAATAAAGTAAGGTGTTAAGGAATAAATGTTCTTTCAACACACTTAAAATTTACCAAAAAAATTATTGACACGGTTTTATTTTATACATCAGCCTTACTTGAAGTATAAAGACTTAAAATCACAAGCTTCATTTACATTTTGATTGAAAGACTCAGTTAATTTTAATTCAATAACTAATCCTTTCAAATTCCTTTACAGTTAACCCATAGTTTAAGAGTGTTTACATGTTGGCATCAGTCGTGTAAATTAAATAATATAATATATTTTTTAATTAAAAATAAAATGTAAGTTGTTTAATCAGTAAATGAAAATGATGAAATTAGATTATGTCAGTTTCCCACTTTTAAGTCTAGAACATGAAGTAAAGTCATTGGATAAAAAATGGATTTAATCACTGCTAAAATAAATCCAAAAGTTTTTGTCTTCATCATACAGGAACCCCTTCATTGGTGAACAAACACAGCATGTGATCAACTCCAATAACATTGTGGTTCGATATCTTCCAAGACCATCCGTTTTCCAGTTTTTGTCTCTAAAGCAAATCTGATGACCCACTTTTCTATAAATACACAAGCATCCTGATGGTTTTCCAAAGAGCAATGAGATGCTGCTGACAAAACTGCATCAATCCTCCTCCTTTCACTACTTCACAAATCAATCTCAAGTCTCCATTTGGATGATGGGTATATTGCACACATCTATGACTCTTTCCCAGTCAGATCCCTATTCTTTACTTCATGACTTTTGTTTTAAAGACAAAAAGTAAGGAATATATGCAATATAGTCTATTTTTGTAACGGAGTCCTCGTCATTCTGAAAAAAATATTAGGAAGTTCGTCTCTTTAATTTCTAGATAAAGTTCAATGAAGCATTAATAAGGGATGACAATCTTGGTTGCACCCATGAAAACATCTAATTCTGTTACTTCTTTTACGAATCATAAGTGTTAAAATATGAGTTTTTTAGCCAACATTGAACAGTAAAAAAAAAAACAAAATGTTTGTAGGTACATAAGTTACGTGTAAGTTGAATTTATTTTTCACTCCTTTTCATCAATTCTGCCCTACTTACTGGGTCAACAACCTGCTTGATTTCTTGGAAAAGCTCTAAGTTATCTACTTTATTCTTTTCTAGGAGTGTCACCAGGATCTCCTCCAAGGACTCTATGCTGACCTTGCCTTTTTCATTCCTGTCTACTGACTGGAACAACTCCTGTAAAATAAAAACAAATTTATATCTGAAGGATATTGAAAATGTTCCCAATACTAAAAACCAGATATATTTGACTCCTAGCATTAACATCTGCTGGCATATAGCTTTGCTCAGTGCACCATGAAATGAAATGATACGAAAGAAAAGAAAAATGCCATGGTACTTCTTTAAAATGTATTTTATCTGCACTCGGATGACTAAACTGTCCCAAAATTTGGCAGATATACAATTTTTGTTTAAATTCATCTGGGTCAAATTGTCATATTCAGTTAACATAATTGCACACACACTTAAAATGGTTTCTTTGATTTATTTCTCCCCATGAAGAAACTGGTGAGTAACTGGTTTTAATGATGCCCAAACAGTTTTTTTTTCAAACTGAACTCAAAGTAAATTACATCTCTGGAGACTATAGCAACTTCATTTCACACAGATGCCATAAAACTCCAGTGTGCATCATTTTCACCTTAAATTAGATAACTATTCAGTTGTTTTTTGAAACTTAAGGAAAACTGTAAATTGATTTGCTTTATTTGTTCAAGATCAGAAAAAAAATTAATCGGATAGCCACTAACTGTACCTACCACAAACTGAAGGACAGACGTCTGTAGTGTAGCAAAATCAAGCCCCTCATAGGAATCTTGTGCAGCACCACTGAAAAATTATTTCAAAGTTAAATTACATGTTAACATACCAATATTACAAGTTATTATGCACTTATTCTGTCCAGTAAATCTATATGTTCCACAAATGTTATATAAATTTATCTACAAAGCTCTTATTATTGGAAACCCGAAATGCTGTATCCTTACCTAAGTGTTGCCATCTTTTGGCACAAACAAGAGAGCGTCACAAATTCATCAACCCCAAAGAAGGTACTGGCACTGGTGATGTCATACACCTGGAAATGACCAGAATATAAGACATCCAAACTACATATGTGGGACCACGACATCAAGATAGAGGATAAACAATAAAAGGTGATGTCTAACATTTTATCATGGCGCAGAGCTCTGAGTTACAATATCTTCTATTTTATAATTAGCACAGAACTGCCATACCTGTTTTATGTATCTTTGTTGAGCATTGGACAATCCCTGTGGAAGTACTTTGGTTACTTCATTATATTTAAGGTGTCTAAATTGAAAAAAAATTAAAAAATCATAATTAAAACTAACGAACAATATTTCAAATAATTTTCAGCAACAGATACTAATAGCTCTAATAATGCTATATATATTTAGTTAAAAATTTTTTAAGACAATTAAAAAACTATCCTGAGAAATTGACATCATATCAAGGCAATCAATGGCAATCACAAAGGCTATTCACAAAAATTCCATGTACTCACCCATCATTATCTGTATCTAAATTCTTGAAAACAACCTCCAACTCCTCTCTTTGATCTTGAGGCACAGCAGAAGTTAAATCTACCCCCTGCAGGCAATGAAAAAGTTTTTGTGTCAATAAAAAAAATCAAAATTATCTCCAATATGATGATCATCCCTACCCCAGTAATGTTATAGCAAAGGGGCAATAGAATACATGGATGAGCTACAATGAATTGTTATGCCAATCACATTTCATTTATCTATAGCGAGGTGTTTCCTTATAGCCAGATAAATGCATTAATATAAGACTTTTTGTTTTAATGCTATTAGAAAATTCAACCATAATGTTAAAACCTACATGGATGTTCCTCACATATAGTGTTCACAGTAGACTTACCTTCAGTGGGTTAGGAGTAGTAGATTTAAGAGCTGCGGGGCCAGATTCTGGCGTTTTCTGGCCAGTGGTGTCCTCTGGTGGTGGGTCCACCTCCATTTTATCCTCATCTGTTTGTTGAACTTCCAAACTGGGACTAAGGGTGAAAAAAGATGGAGACTATAAATGCTATTGCAAGTTACAGATGCAAGCTTTCAACCAGTATAAACAGTTAATATTAAGAAATAAAAAATTGAAATTAATTAAGTGACCTTTGCATTAATTTTCAGGCATTTTTTCTAGACCTGTATCAAATCTCTTTCATTAGTACTGATATATCCAAACACAATTTTGATTAAAAATACTTGCACCACAAGAGCCCTGACCATACCAACTGATCGTCAGGCATTGTTATCACAGTAAGTGGGCCTCTTATATCAACACAGTTATAGCATGAATAAAATTTGGGAGAAATGTGTAAAACCTTTCAGAAATCCTCTTAAAAAGCTGTAAAATTTAATATGATTAAAAATAATGTATATTGTAGTAATTTGTCCAAGGATCGTTCAATATGGGGAATGGCTTATCCCTATCAATAATCAACATCTCTATATGACAGTATGTATTCTAGCACACCACAGCTTCAGGTATCAAAATTAAGTGCACTGTTTTTATTTTCTTTCATAACATGACAACAACAAGAGCACCAAAAACAACAAAAACAAAAAGGTTACATTCATGAAGCAGAGCTATTGAGGGTCTCAACTACTGAAATATCCATTTCCTTTGAAGATCGAAGGTCATTTATAAGAGAAACCATTGCAAACATCATGTGACCATTGATCAAACTCGTATGCACCTCAGAGATGGACTGCAAGTTTTCAAGATAGAAAGAAAAACAATGGCATATTGTATACTTCAATTTTAAACCTCTCCCAAGGTTTGAACAAAAAAGACGGATCCAGGGATGGAAAAACTCGCCACCTCTTATTTTTTGCAAGCATGTTAGGGTTAAAAACTGAAGCCATGCATATTGTGTGATCAGTCCTGCTGTCTCATTTCAACAAATATCTCCTGTAGTTAAGGCAAAATGGTCATTAAATCAAAGTTGGCAAAAAAATAAAATGAGAGAGAGAGAGAGAGAGAGAGAGAGAGAGAGAGAGAGAGAGAGAGAGAGATCCAATGCTCTACGAGGCATCAGTCACGCTCATTTGTTAACCCTGGGATTCAAACATCCCCATTACAATGTAATCTCTCAATAATTGTCCTCCACAATGTTGTTACTTACCGCGGCAGTGTTCTACTCGGTCCTCTATTATGATCATGATCATGTAGATCGTCATCGTCACTGTGGACTGGAACCCGTGGCGTCCTTGGAGCTATACTGGAAGAATGTCTGCTGGGGTCTAATACCCCTGGGAACAAAAAAAGGAACAAGGTTTTATTAATCCAGTCAGCCTTATTATTCATATCAAACAGCATTAATTTGTCAAAATGAATACAGGTTTAAAACAGTAAATAAAATGAAATAAAATGTCCATTTTAGTCAGGAGAGGGAAAAGTTACAATTTAAACTAAACCTAGAGCATGCTGAGAACAAGTGCTGATTAGTTTGTAATTACTGATTAAATATATTTAGGTTAAACACTAGGAGCAAAACTGACTATAAAGTATTCAAAATAGCATCTATAATCACACTAATGGGTTAAGGCACATTTACACACAGGTTGTGGTGACAGTTTTTAATTCAGCCCTTCTTTATGAGCTGCCTGATTAAGCTAAATTCAACATAAGCAGCAAATGTTTTTCTCTGTTTTCTACTTTTAATTCCTACAACTGAAAACAGCAAAGAACACAGCAAAGAACTAACTTTTGGGGACAAGAGGAGTATACACTTGCTGCTTATGGTGGGTTTTGTTAAATCTGACAGTCTATAGAGAAGGGCAGTCCCAATTTGTATGAGAACATGCCTTAAAATGCAAACAAGCCTGGATTATAAAGTACTGTAATGATAAGCCCATAAAGCTGAAGCATGCAGCAAGGACCTACAATAAATGAACCACAGATACACTCAAAAGCCATAGTCATGGTAAATGAGTGAAATCAAGATAAACTTGTTCTAGAAATATTAGTCATAACAGTCTAAATGCAAAAAGTGAATCCGGGAGTTATGCTGAAGAAAAAGTTCTAACAAGCAATTACTATCTAAGATGCTACTGATAGTGAACTGTGAATTTTTCATCATCTTTGAATAATTGCTATAGTTTTGTTTTCTAACAACAAAAATTGTACACTAAACTTGCATAAAAAAAACAACGACTGTTTTAAAAGTTTTGCCATTGTCTTTAGAGGCATACTGAGGGAGCACTTATGTCAAATCAGTGCTAAACTGACCAAATGCCACCACACAGTTTCAAACAAAAGAAACCACAGAGTTTGCAAGTCTTGCAAAAGCTTTTTAATCATTGAATTCACCTATGGTGTAATTCAGTTTTACTGCAAACATACAATACCAGTTCATAAATGTTTAGCTAGTATATTCTCTTTTTTCCCCTAAAATACTATGTTGCAGATTATTCAATTCCTAAACTTTAGGAAGGAGGAATCCAGTGAAGTGTTATGTGCTAGGTGTAAAAACGGCAAGAGAGTTAAGTTTTCATAATTATAGGTATTATCATAAAAATCTACAGATTAGGTCATGTGCATCTTAGTAAAAACTGTGCTCATCAGTTTTCAGTACAGTTATCAACTCACAACACAAATCAAAAATAAGTGTGTAGTTACAACATGGATTAGTGTTGAACAGTTTAAAAACAAATTTGGACAAAGTATTTGACATCTGGGTAAGGATCACTGCTTCTATTCATGCACATTTACAAGTTTACTTCTTAATCATTGTACTCTACAGTGTATAGAACACATAAGGTAAGCAATAAGGCTACATTTACAGGAAAGGTATAAGCCTGCAGTGGAATTGCTCCTATATGTCAGCTCCCATATCAATATTCAGTCATTCTGTTGTACAATGTATCAGAGCAAGAACGGGAAATTCTTAAATGTTGTGAAAAAAATTCTTTAAATTGTCTTAAAATCTGAACATAAGAAAAATTTAATTTTAAGCAAAAAATATTAATAAGATAAAATAAATATAAAAAATGATAAACAACTAAACAATTAGTAAAAAGTTAGAAAAAAGGCTATCCACTTTTGATCTGTTTGATCAAATCTTGTCCACTGATGAGTTATCAACAAAGCAAACCATACTGTAACCAACACAGTATTGAGGTTGCTGTCTGTATGACAACTAAATGCTCTCATACTGAATATTGAGATGGGAAACTCAGGGAAACATTTTCCAGCACAGCGTGAATACACTTATAGAGAGAGAATACATGTTGAAATGGGTATCTACCTAATATGGGATTGTACTCAGCTACTGGAGATGGAGAAGATGGAGGAGACGGCTCTCTCATAACTACAGTTTCTTCCTTCTTGGCTATGACAGGGGGTTGGGGGTCAGGCTTAAATTCAGGTCTGGCCTCGGGCACAGTTGCCTGGCGTTTGATAGGAGGTATAACTGCAAGAGTCTTTTTCTTGGGTTTTTGAGAAATGAAAGTATTGGATTTTCGGGACAACTTGGAAGGTTGGTGAGAGACTGGAACCCGAACTAGAGTGGCAGGAGCCGAGGTTGTAACTGCAAATGAATGTGATTAAAACTAAAAATAAAGTCAGTACGGAACATAAAATATGGACAACTTACGAGAGAAGGTCCCCAAAATAGGACACAAAAATCACAACTGAAGGAAAATAAAAGCATCTAATTCTTTTAATCGATGAAAATGTAGAATTGAAAGCATGTACCTTTACACTATTTGCTATAAAAATTGAAGTTTGGCTATCCCAAAGCAGTGAGGCACTAAGCATATAAGGTGTCTCCATGCTCTTTGTACCCTCTCATAACAGTGGCTACAAGATATACCGCACAACTTAACAGATCACTGGATTCTCATTTTTATTTACATCGGTTTCTTTGAATGCATCTTCCAAAAAGTGTTCTATTTTACAGGTATAACACCTAATACAAACATGCTTTTCTTTTCTTTTCTTTCTAGCATACAAATAAGAAACAACAAATGCCTTAAACCTGTACACTACCACTAAGTGAACTAATGTGAGGAAGCATACTGTACAAGTAGCCTTTATGTCACACGTACAAGGCATCACACAAATGCTTACAAAAACTGAAGAAAACATTAAGCCCAGTCATTGCATATAGCGATGAAATTACTAACCCATAAATAAGTTCCGTCTCCTTTCAGCCAATAAAGTATCTACTGCAGATACCATGAATGCAAATGAATTAAATATATTCAAAATATGTACCAGCGTGTACATGGAATAATGAAATATATGATGAAGGAATGATACTGGCTTTCAGTAATAAAAGTAATTATTGTAATATACACAATATGGAGAAAATCTGGCAGAAAATACCATGTCTTATTTCAGACGGAACCAATTTCAGATGGAACCAGGACTATTTTGCTATGTCTATATGCTGTGAAAATGACAATGATAAAAAAATACATTCTCATCCAATAAACAGATATCAAACTCGTTCCATTTCAATAAATGTAAGCAAATGATATATTTCATTTTTTAATATTAACCCTGACATAAACTTGAGTTAAATTTTGCCAATCATTCACTAGTAAATCACAACATTCATTTGAGAGTGCAATGCGACTACAGTTATTGAGTAGCATTCAGTGAAGTTATATGTCTAAAGCCAGTTACATCAGCACAACATCTAAATTAGCAACAATGGCCAGACAGTAGTTCCAGTATATAGTATACAATATTTACATCTCTAATATTCAATCCACTTAGTACAGGGATCCTTCATAGACAGGGAGCATATACATGATTAATAATATGGGGCATAGGATAAATGAATATATAATAAAACATTTCTATATCAGTAATACACATACAACAATGCTGATCATGATACCGGGTACATGTGTCAAGCATTCAATGCAGTGTCTGCTACACATCTATGCAGAAATAAAAAACTTACTCATTGCTTCATCTGGAGGCATGGGGCGTCTTGGACTCACTGAGGCATGTTGACTGAAATAAATTTTATCAGTACATGATATTGTGTAAATCGATAATTGCATTTTGATCTATAAAAATAATAAAACAAAACTACTGGTTATACTGGCAAATTTAACATTGATCTAGAATGTGGCAACCAATTAAAATAAATTGAAAGCAATCTAGATATAAATCACACTAAATAATTTTTTTCATTATTTCCGATACTTACGCAGGTAACTTGATTCCTCTACCATGGTATAGATCCCTGGCATTGGCTGGCAAAACTATACTTTTTAGCCTGTTTAATTCATCTGTTATGCTTTCTCTGAATACGTGAAAAAATAGTCATAAAATACTGAGATGTTATTTCAATGTCACTGTTGCTACACACCAAATTTTTAAACAAAAACAATCAGTTATGAAATTCAAACAGGTGAATGTAAGGTTTTAAATGAGAGAACAAACAACTCTAATAAAACCCTTTAATCATTTGCCTAAGCCAGAGGCTTTGAACAAAAACTTTCTTTAAATAAGCATGTTTATCTAATCATGACCTTGTATATCTCAGGGCACCTGTCGTTCAATACTACTCTAACAATACCTGAAAATTACTTTCTAAACAGAATGTACTTAAAAGGATACAACTCTGCCCAGATATACAGTTACAACAATAACACAGTCAGTGCACGGTTTGTTTTTTAAATATATTATATCATGTGTATCTTTAGCATTCTGAACTTACCTTTCATTGAATTCTGCTCTTTTTCCACCCATAAGTAAATCTAGAGGAGCTCTGTGTGGTAGAACTTCTCTTTTTCTTTTTAACCCCCTCATAGATTCGACATAATCTTTTTCTGCCTGGTGTCGCTCTCGTTGTGACTCCCTACTACAAAAACAAAGACAAAACAAATATTAATTGTTCTAACATCTACAAAATCTTATGCTATATATAATTCATACCTACTGGTATTCATGTATATCAGTCACTCTACATTAAATACATATCTTATTCACTATATCTGCATTTATCAAGTCAACATATTACGACGAAAAAAACATGTCTACAAACCTTTGACAAAGCTACACAAAATGAACTCCCATGGAGTGCATGCTTCAACACAATCAGTTTATTACAAAAAAACTGCCTTTTTTTAGCAGCAATAATTGCAACCTGCCACGCTCTTGAACCACTTACTTAAGATTGTACTGCTGCCGGATTTTGTTAAAGTTGTATGTGTTCTTGGTCACTTGCAGATTGGGAGTTTGCACATAGGACAAAATGGGCAGTGGTCTAGAGGGCAAAAGAGAAAGAAATGAAGCCATGGGATAAGCTACATGCTAAACTACTACCCAGACAATCAAACCAGTATTCCTCATGAAATTAAGTGAAAATGTTAGGTGCAGTACATTTTGACAAGAGGAAAGATTTTTTCAAGTGCTGAAGGTTAAAGATATGAGCAAAGTATGAAAGAAAAAGTCCCCCAGGTAAAGAAGCAATCAGATTCTGTCAAATAAAATATCAATTTTTTTTGCTAATGAAATAAATAAATTTCTAAAGATCTGATTTTAATTTTTTATTTGAAATTTTTCAAAAGAAGTTCATATTGACATACTGTGATACATGATTATTCAGTTACCAAATTGCTCAGATGTAAAATATAGGGTAAGTAAAGTTTGAAAAAGAATTTTTTTTGGGGGGGGGGGAGTTTAAATGAAATAAAATTATACAGTTCACTACAGTGATAAGGAAAAAGTGTAAAGAATCTTATAAAAGAAATTAGAATACTAATGCTACAAAGCCACACCAATGCTGCAAGTGCCACTGTATGATTTTTCACAATATGCAGTTATCGTGATGTGTGCAATGACTACAGGCTACATATGACTATGCAGTTATTACTAAGTGCGACTGAAGCATTCACTCAATGTGCAATAATCTAGGTTATGTGCAGTCATCTTAAATAAAATCAAATGTGCACATCTACATCTAGAAAAACATGGCCAAAATCAAAATATGCCCCCAAACCCCAGTAAATGTTCATAAAACTTGTAGGGTAATCAACTTTTTAAAAAAAGTCCCTCCCGAGAAGTCAAAAATATTCTAGAACAATATATATAAGCTGAAGAAAATCAATTCATGTGCATCCATTTAAAGTGCTATTCTTCCAAAACACTACTTAAAGTAGCTTAATCACTTGACCTGTTTATTTCAAAACAGACTAAAACAGAGATGTAACTAGGCGAATAAGCCACAGGATTAATATGGACAGCTTACAAATCACTTCACATAATTGGAGATCTCAGGTAAAAAAAGACCACATTATCTTATCAGCATATCCAATACAGTGACTTCTTTATCATTTATCACTCAATAAAGCCAAAATATCCCAACATAATCTCCAAACAAACATAACAAATTAAAGTCATATTAAATCAATACAGTCAAAGACAAAATGCACACACAAACCACAGTTACCCCGGCATTTTTTGTTTGTGTACACGTTTCTTTGCTGTTATAAAAAAGCCAGATCTGTGTGCATGATGAAAAAAGTCATTTGGATCATTGGCTTGATACAAAGTCAAAAATATAATGTTAAAATTGGATACAATGTTGCTGTGCTACATTAAATATACCACACTGTGTTATAGGAGTGTTTGATACAATATAACAACTTCTATAGTTACATTTTATACTAATGTTGGGTTCAATATATCACAATAAACTATTAAGCTGTGCCGTGCCTTATATTGAAGTTATAAAAGCAAATACTTATCAATTATCTAAGTAGCACTACATTTATCACATGCAATAAAATAAATTTAATAAAAACTAGTGACAAAAATTAAAAACACTTGAACAATTAATAAATAAAACACTGATCACAAGTTTCCATACATTAATCTACATATTTATTTACAAACTAAATAGAAACTAAAAAGAAATATTTATCCAAATAGAAAAGTACATCTACTCACGGTTGCACTGGAGGATTCTTGTCTGATTCAACATCCCACTGGAAAGTAGAAAATGATCTTTTTCACAACTATTTCTGTTTGATTTTTTTAGAGAATGCATTACTTTTTACCTTTTGTGGCATTTTCAGTTAATAATTTTCGGGAATGACTTTCCTCATATACTTTGCTACCCAAGGCACTGACAGATAAACAAAGAAAATACAGCAATACTTGTACCCTTTCAAATGTTTGTTTTACAAAAAAAAAAAAAAAAAAAAAAAGAAAAAAGAAAAGAAAACAAACAAAATACATCATATGCCCATGAAACCAAACATCAAATGACACTATTCATGATGTCCTATTTTAAATCAAAAGATGATTCAATTAAAATTTAGCAATTTTTTTCAAAGGTTGCTGTGGTATGTGCTCTACCAAGCATGTGGATCTACCACTTACAAATAGGTATAATTGCTATTATTTTAATCGTAACAATCTCTTTATATAAGGGTTTCTAATGTTCTTTTAAAGTTTTCTGTTTTGTCTTGTTTTAAAGGTGGTCGATTTTGTACTATTCATATCTCCATTAGGATGTGTCACTCAACTGGTAATGGAATTAACTATAGGAAAAAATTGAGGTTGGTAAATAACGAGAAAAACAGACTGGATATTTTCTCATTATGTCCAATTGGCATGCCTTGGGGTAAATATAAATGCTTCCATTATTAATGCATTAGTCATGAAACTCATCTGGAAAACATGTTAGAGTCAATGTTAATGATTTTCTTCAATTATTCCTACAATAGTTTGCAACCGTTGTCAATTACAAATTGCTCATTTCACACATCAAGTTTCACAGTCACAGAAAGCCACATGCCTATAACCAGGCCAGTTGGGGAAAAAATCAATCACACTGTGTCGCATGCATTTTTTATTATCATATCTCATGCAATATGTTAAAACACCACAAAAAATCAATTCACTTTAATTTGTATTGATAAACTTTCAAGTATACACCTCCACCCTGTTTTGCAACTGTCAGTAACCAAACTCCATCTACTTACTTTTCCAATACCAAACATTGGCGACTCTCTCTGGCAACACAAGTCATTTAACATTAATTTATCTCATGGATTTCAAATCACTTTGATTTGAAAATCAGTATATATCTATTGAAATTAAAACTTTTGAAAAGAAAAATCTGGCACTTTGACAATGCTAAAAAATCTAATTTGATAAACTACAGATTTTAAAAGATCACATTATTATTATTATTATGAAGAAAATCAAATGTAGCAACTTTTCACATTAAAATATATTTCTGTCAAAAATTTTGACAAGCAAAATGCTTAATACCGACTCCCCCTTCACTCCATACCCACTTTCAAATTTTCAAAATTTTCAGAAATATATGTGGGATTGGAAAACAAAAGAGGTTATGAAATTTTTCTAAAATCTGTGTAAAAATACATACCTGGTATCTTTCTGTATGAATGATTACTTCTTTCTGTCTTGTCATAGCCACTTCTTTACCACCAAAGGTATCTTGGTGACGTTTAGGAATGGACACTTTCTTCAACATCGTGGAAGATCTACCAAAATAAAATATAAGCTTAAGACTCAAACAGTACTGCTATTAATTTCACACATTATGAAAAATGAATCCTTTACAAAAAGACAGTAAAGGACCTAAATCAATGAAAAACTAACATGCTTTTGCAGCACTAAAAAGGCAAAAATACAAATAGGTAATAAAAATCATTTAACTTCATAAAGTAGTTCTCTAATATACACATCAACTTAACTTATTTTCACACTTCAATAAGACTACCAAATCACTTGTGATTGGGTCTTTCAATTTAATTCTATTAACTCATTCAAACTTGATAGAAGAATGTATAAACACTTAAAGACTCTGTAAATTTACTTATGCAGATCGCATCTCAGGTCTGTGTGTTAATGCCTCTTCTACTACAAAGGATCACTATTCTCACAAAACTAATATTTATCCTTACTATAAGCTGCAACTACTAGATAGAAGGCATGGTGAAAATAGTAGTACAGTTATGACTGACATTTTAAGGGTCGACTATGTATGTGTCCCATGTCTGTGTCATGATGTGTCTTAGAGAGTGAATTCCATTAAGTATTTCATTATCATATTCACATTGTGGAGATCTCACAAACAGAAACCAAATGTTTGCCTTAATTGGCAAAAGACACTCTAGATTTGACAATACTTCTTCAATTTCAATTATCCCAACCTCGATGGCACTAAAGCAAGTTTATAATATTCAATTTATGCAAGTCCATTTAATTTTGGAAAATGGATGTAGAATGACTTTCCTCCCAGTTTCAGAGATCTGTAAAAAACCAGGGTGGCAAATGCATGTAAATACAAACATTAATTTTCAAATGTTCTGATTAAGATCGCTTGATTGGCATTTCTTTTTCTTCATATCAAATCTGAGGTTTTATTCTGGTTGTTGTAAGACACAAAAACATTTTACTTACTTGAAATATTGAGGCTGATATGGCAGTGGCTCTGTATTAAATTCCTTTGGTCGATTGTCTTCAAACCTTGACTTGGCGTGCATATTAGGGGAAGTGTGGACCTTTAAAATAAAATATGCCAATAGTATATACCTAGAATATTCACAGGACTTAACTATATGGTAAATAGTAAGTTACTATCCTTAAAACAAATGAAATAAGATCTGGGCAACAGTACATAAAAAACTAGATTACGTTAAAACCACTTTGTTTTGCATTAACTGTAATCAAATGAGTTAATTGGAGCCTGGTACAGCATCTAGATTGAAACATTAAATAAAAAAGTATTTTATTTGTATAGTAATACAACCCAAGAATGAAATTACAACAAGCTTATGACTATGGACATATATATTGATCTATTTACAGGTACTTGAAGACAGCTGGCAGAAGTCACACAGGGCAACAAATAATCAAGGTGTCAATTGGTGTCACAGAGAATTACACAGGTTGATTATAACTGTATTGATCTCATCACATAAGGCTTATGTAAAAAATCATGAACTGAGATTGATTGAAGAATTAGCTTTTGTTATGAAGTTATCCACACAACTTCATCTAATAAATGATTTACTATAATATTGAACTAAATATAACGAGTAATACCAATTAATATATTCAGTGGGAGGGTAGGGGTTAGAACTGAGATATTGACTGACACATTCACCCATACATTCATAAAAAAGTTTTACTGACTGAATATAAGGATAATATAATAATATAATGGACAAAAAAATTTTAAACATAGTAAATATAATTTTTCATGTCAATATGTGAAAATTTTATAGATTCAATATCTAAACGTCTCCGTGAAAACTAGCACGAAAATTCATGCGTTAGCACTCCAATTGACGATTCTGATCTGTACTTACTGTGTGTGTGTGAATTTTCGTGCTACGTGAAAGCATTAAAAACATTTGTTTCTGGACATTGTTTATCAGTTTACGCAACTTTACATCAACTTTACATGGCTTTTTAAGGATTCCAACAAATCGCAAGCACCAACCTTTGTGGGTCTGGCCTGAACCCTCCTTGCACTGAGCTCGTCTGCGTCCCGGGGGACTAAAGGGGGGAGGTTGGGGATGTCAATCTGCTTAAAGTCCCGGGTAGGTGATAAACTGTTCCCACTACCAGAGCCTCCCGACCCTGCGGATTTAGCCTTAGGCAACGTTGGCAACTGTCGAATTGCTCTTTCGTCTGACACAGGATTAACCGTAGACATGGTCAACATTTTCGGCACCAGCTCGCATCTTCCTCTCAACTACCGTGGAAACTCTGGGCGGCAGAAAACTACATGAATCGCCATTCAGCGACCACGAATTCGTTTTGGGTGAAGTTCCAAACTCGGTCTAAGTTTTGCGGTTGTGGGTCCCTTAAAACTCCAGAGCTCGTTAAATGAACATTTTCCAATGAAAAACGTATCGTTTCAACAATACTCGAGTACTTAACTCCCTTGAACTGTTGATAAAAATCTAATAAATCTTTGACCACGCTTTTTATCCCGTTTTCAGCTGGTCGGGGTTGCTTCCTTGGCAATAGTAAATTATTACAGGGCGCATGCGCTTTACAAAATAAACAAACGACAGAATGCCCTTTTGATAACCGCAAACAGTGATATGAGCCCGGTTGCCAACCAAGATCAAGAACATTATTGATCTGTGACCAAGCGTAAGCTGGCTGAGATTAATTTCTTTAGGTCGGCGTTGTGAATGCATTGAATGCGGCTGGGTTTAGAGGAACGTGACCTCTAAGAAATAATAATATTATGTAGTAAAAAGACCAGCTGAACGGTGCATATGATATTAACTTATTTAATTGATGTGTGTATGCTATTTCAATAAATTTAATCAGTCTGTTTAAATTATGCGCTTGTTTTTGTTCATATCCGTCAGTGTCTATTCAGTCCATTTTTTTTCTTTCAGCCGCAACCATCCGTCCACCAAGTTTGTCTTTAACGTCAAGGCGTCAATAACAAAACTTGTTTAATCTGTAGCTACGATCTCCAACTAAATCGTACCAAGAAATTATAGCAGCGGTATCAAATATCAAATTCACCTCGGCTTATAAAAGATTTGCATTCAGTATTACTCCTACTTGCGTCAATATCTCTTTTTTTAACACGCACCTATGGTTCAACAAAAGATTGGTTTATATCGAGTGGATGGATTTTAGTAATTCTTTTATCCACCTTTTTAGTTAAATGCACTGTAACTTACGATACTCAAAGGTTATTCTTTCCCAGCTGATACTAAAAGGAACGTTATCGAATATATCAATTTTTGGTGATCCATTTTCAAAATTCTTTTAAACACAAACGCAGAACAAACTGCGTAAATAATGATGAACAGCAAATTACACTGTAAGTCCTTGTATCTGCACAAATGCAGGCGGTATGCCTATCTCTTTAAACTACCAGGTACAAACGTAGATGTAGATCCGCCTATCTGATAATTTGTTGACCTTGATTTTTAAATTTTTTTATTATTTTTTTTCCACTGGCGCATAACGATGATCAAGAAAACATGAGTTGTGGGATTTCGCATTGATAAATTGAAAAAATAGCAATTCCAAGAGCAGCAAGAATTTATCCTTCAAGAAGAACTGAAGATCAAATTTTCGTTCTGTAGCACTCGTATCCTACTCTTTTGGGCTGCTTTTAATGTTATTCAGTGTTATTATTACCGTTGATGTAGGTTCACTGCACATTGAATACAAGAACCAGCATAAGGTACAGACTTTGTAGAACCTGTCGCTGACATTGGTTATTTCCCACAAGTCAGATGAAGAAAAAGATTAGACTTGAAGATCTAGACCTGCTTGTTGGCTGGGCCGCAGGATATAAAAACGAAAAATGGGAATGTTCGGAAATGTTATAGATTAAAAACCCAAGCCCAAAGTTCATGACAGTATGTTAATTTTAATTTAAAAAATACCCTATAGGCCCTATAAGATGTCGTAGAGGATCATTAAAAAAGGAATGGGTGTATTTGTCTTTGGCAATAAGGTAATTTAGGTCACGGAGGTAGGGAAGAGAAGTGTTTTTTGCGCTCATTGCATCACCACAAGTCTGAGAAGCCTTTGCCATTACTACTGGTCTGGTTAGATTGTAGTAGCTGTGCCTGATTGTTGTAGCATACCAAGAAACGCGACAATTTACACAGCAAAATGTTAAAATTAGTTCATTTAGTCATAGAAGTAGAGATTTAGTAGACACAGCTAATTGGCCAAGATTAAGATTATGATTTAAAAGTGAAACAAATAAATACGAGCTTGACTTTATAAACAAATCAGCTAATTTTTGAAATGGTAATAAAGTCTAGACTAGGATATGTCTACTGTAGGCCTATATGCCTATAATACAAAAAAACTGATTTGCGTTTCTTTTCAGAGTAAAACAAGAGCACAAAAAAGACAAAAAAAGGCGAAAACGAGCTAAAAGACGCAATAAAAGCACAGTTTTAAACGAGATAGTATTTTCTGTTTCGGTGTGGACAGCACGACCACACTATTCAATGTGGTAGATTTTGATGGCACATACGAGCCTCCGTACATCCTCACTGACTCCATCTTTTTTACAAAATAACTGGGTAGCTCTGCATGTAAGGTGAAGGTTACTGCTGCGACGACGACCGCGACGAGCGATACCGTTTTGGAGAAGTTTACTTTAGTACGTGAGCAACTGAGCTGTCAAAATGTCAGAAAGAAAGGTTCTGAATGTAAGTTAATTCTTATATCTTAAGTCTGTGTGATTTCCACACGCATCATGTTGTGTAAGTTAACATTATCATTGGTCGATCAAGTTTGCTCCAACTTTTGATATCTTTCTTATTTGTTGTTTTGCACTGCTGAAAAAATGTTAGTATATTGTAAAGCTTTCGAATTTACATCAATGATTTCATTAATTCAGACCAGATTCTTAAAAAGATATGTCAGTGAGTTTAAACTTAAGGTAACTGAGGGCGGGATTCAGTGGGACTGGAAAGGGGCAGGGATACTATCTGCAAAATTACATTTTGAATTTGGTTCTGACACTGTCTTACCTAAAGTAAATATAACTTGCTTTGGTATACTTCTTTTACAGAAATACTATCCCCCAGACTTTGATCCTTCAAAAGTTCCCAAACTCAAACAAGCCAGAAACCGTGTTTACAACATCCGTACCATGGCACCATTTAACATGAGGTAAGTAAAGACAAACACATGGAAATACACATATTGTTTCAATGTGACCACATTGACATATTCTTAGTGTCATATCCCATGATAACATATATACATATACTTGGAAACATCATAAGTTCATATTTAAATGTCTGTGTGTCTATCCTGAAAAAAAAAAAAAAGGAATAAAATAATGACCTTTTTGCATCCCATTCTAAGAACACTTCTATTCACAGAAACTATTTATCTTTTAATACATGCATGTATTAAAAAATATACAATTAATATTAAATCTAATGAATTTGTGCTTTTCTTTCATCAGTGTCATAACATTATTATAGACAAAAAAAAAAAGCTCCATTCAATTTTATGTGGCAAGCTATTTATGTTTACTGAAATTCTATCCAACATGTTTATGTTATTTATTGTGTTCCAGGTGTAACACTTGTGGTGAGTACATTTACAAAGGTAAGAAGTTTAACTCCAGAACTGAGCTGGTGGAGAATGAGAACTACCTGGGACTGCACATACGCAGATTTTATATCAGGTGCCCAAGATGTGTGGCAGAGATTTCTTTCAAGGTAAAGATATGTTTTCAGGAATAGGCAAAATCATCAGTGATGTTCCAATATTTTGTTTTATTATTTTTAATTTTTTGTCAAATATGTTGTTATTCCAAGGAACTAATACATTTTTTTCAGTGAATAATGCGATACCATCCAACTTTTGATAGATATATTCTTATAGGTGTAAGTTCCTGTTCATTTTAAAATATCTCACTGCTCTCTGAGCAGAATTTTCTGATATAAAGCATGCTAATTAACATTTTGAAATGTAAAACATTTATTTTGAATTTCAGACAGATCTTGAGAACACAGACTATGCCATAGAAGCAGGTGCCACCAGGAATTTTGAGGCCATGAAGACAGCAGAGAAGTTGGCGAGGGATGAAATAAAACAGAAAGAAGAAGAGGAAGCTAACAATCCAATGAAAGTAAGCAAATGAGAATAGTATAATGAATAATAATCGTAGAATAATGTGTTGTTAGAGGTGAGCTGTTTTTATGAGCTGTGTAATTACAAGTGGGCCAGTTTAACTTTGTACAGTTAGTTTTCAGTTGTTTTACCTGATTCCCCTTTATCAAGGGTTTGTCAGTTTCATTTTAATCCAAGTTACTAACTAAAGTGTTTGATTGATACACTCCCTGCTTTAAAATGTCCTCCTGCTTCAACTCATTCCTACATGAAAATTTGATTTTTGGCAATTGCAATATATCTGGCCTTTTGTGGGCCTTTTATATTTAGATAAATCTTGTTTACTTTAGTTTCTTGTAAAATTAGATCTTTTATATATTATCATTTTATTAAATGAATATACTCACCATTTAGTTGTTAGAAAATCGAACAAAACAATCCAGAAATGAAATGGAGATGCTGGAAAATCTTGAGGAGCTCAGAGAAATCAACTCCCGTAAGGAGAAAGTGGACCAAAATACCATGTTAGAACTGCATGCTGCTTATGAAGAACAACTGGCAAAGCTTCAGGATGAAGAAGATGAAAAGTTCATACAGTAAGTGCTCTTCTGTTGAAGTAATACATATTATGCAATTGCATGATTTAATCTAATATATATTTTAAGTATATTTTGCAGCACACATTTGGTTGTACATGCCGATACAACTATGAATTATACATTGTAATTAAATTGATCCAAATTAACTGGAGTGGAAATTAACCCCCTTTCCTTTTTCTGTTGCAGGTCAGTGTTTGGGAAGAAGGATGAGGGACTTGTCAAAAGGATCCATGATTCAGATGATAGTGACAGTGAAGAAGTACCTGTAATGAAGAAGTTTGCAGTTGGTGACAAACCCACAGATATTCTGGCAGAGGTAAGCTGAGTATTACTGTAATTTGGCTTATAGTCAGTACACATTTTTCTCCGTCTAGTGGAGGCCAACTGAATGATGATGTCATTCTACCAGTAAAGAGAAGTGCCCAATATTAGCCAGAGACGTGTGAATATTTAGTGAAAAATCGATCTGTAGCCCTGGTAGAGGGTCTTTTTCTTTACTGGTGTTGTCTGTCTGCAAGCTTATGTATTTTTCTTTAAAATATTTGAAGGCTATTACAATCAAATAGATAAATGGTGCAGTAGATGTAATTGGAATTAGCTGCCTTTAGATGATTTGTGTAGTGAAGGATAATGAAAGACATGTTCCTGTCAGAAAATCTCACAAGTGGAATTTCTTTTTAGGATGTCAACACAGAAAAGACAACACAGGTGACATCTTCTTCTTCAAAGACTTCAACCTCCTCACAGCAAAAACCATGGAAGAAAAGTCAGGGGGTTATGTCAAAGAAATCTTCATTGAAAGGACTGGTTCTTGTTAAACCTAAGAAAGACAGTAACACAGAAACAAAACATGTATCGACCCCCACAGCAGGAGAAAATGGATCAGCTAGTGTATCAGATGAAACTAATGACAAAGAGAAGACATTAGCAAATGGGACCACTAATGTATCCAATAATGTAAAATCTTCAAGCACTGCTACAGCAAGTAAACCTGTAGTTGCTGGTGGATTGTCTTTACTTGGAAATTACTCTGATAGCAGTAACAGTGAAGATAGTGACTAGTTTGTTTCTTTTGTGGAAACTTCCAATATACACGAAGGGACTTATTTAGTGTGGAAACCTGAAATTGGGAATGAATCTGCTGAAAATCATAACTAAGGATAATTTTCTTTTAGTAGTCATGTACTTGGAGAGTTGAAATGTGAAGGTTTCCAAGTGATGTATAGGAACATGGTCATATAGTGTATAAAACTACATAATACACATAAACAATTGACTGTGGAATATTTTATATCTAGGGATTTTACATCTCATATTAATATGCACACTGTATTTTTAGGAACTATCACAAATGTAAATTTATGTAATAATAATTGGGCAAAAAAGATTCCCATAAGTATTGCACACGTTGTAACCTGATTCTAAAATGTTAATATTTCATTACAAAACCAATGATTTTGGAGCATTTAACAACGGTTGTTTTAGATGTAAAATATCTTTTAAAATATGCAGTGCTTTTTTTTTCAGTGCTGTTTTGGTCACAGTCTCAGTTAAGGATGACATCAGTACAAGTATAGCTTAAGTGATATAGCATATGTGCTCTTATGTAGTCCTAAAAAGCTTATATAGCATCTTGTGTTTTTACAAAATATTCCAAATAAAAAGAGGAACTAGAATATTTTATAAACAGTATGGTTTATTGTTACATGAATAATGCTACACAATAGTACTTTCATGAAATGAAAAATGGCACAAGGTGCAATGGATAAATGCATGCCAAGCACACAAAAAGATTTTGATTCAACTTTCTCTCTCTTTTACCATCAACCTTTATTGCACACTGATGAAAAATTTCAAAATATGATTCGTCTTAAAAAGGTCTGTCTAAAGAAGATCACAGACTAGTAGATAAAATCAGACTAGACTAAAGCAGTCTTATCTCCAACTAAAATGCATAAAGCTAAAAATTATCTGCTAAAAAGGCCGTCAAAATATTTTATCAATTATATCTGAAACATTGTGTCTTTATCACTAGAATAAAATGCCTGAAATGTATTTTGATAACAATTTCTAGATTTTTAACACCGAGATATCAACTTATCTCCTGTGCCAATGCTCATGTTTGAAGCATGCTTTTGCACATTGGTTTGACTTGAATAGCTATGTTGCTACCATATCATTATCACATTTGCCTCACTGAAAATTTCCAGGAATGACCTTAAAACTGGATATCTTTGGAATTTTTGATTGTTCAATGAATATGAAAGAGATAAGAGTGTAATAATCACAAACAACCCCTCTGCTTCATTGAAAATGAATGTTGTTACTATGTTCTCATAGTCTCACATACCTAGACAAAGAACAAGTGGGTTTCATTTGATAAACTTTTTCACTTGATTTACCAAGTATACCCTATCTGTCTTGGCCCCTGTTGCTTAGATGAGGGCTACAGACTAGGCGGAGAGCACAAAGGTGGATAGGAGACCATGCCGCCCATGCAGAGACAGCCTTTACTTTGGCTATGAAGTCAAGTGATGTTCTTTCACTCCCATCTCTATGTGGCTATACTCCACAACAGTTTTTTCACTTCTGGATTGGCCTGAATGCCTTGGAATTTCCACTCTAGAGCTGTGAAATCTGCACATTCTATCCTCTCTTTCTGATATTCAACCATGTCCGCAGTGTCTTCAGTGCTGAAATTTTATGATAGAAAAATGAAATTTATTGCAGGGAAATTAAGGATCAAAAATATCTGTTTTTCTTTCAAGTGTACCAATATTGTATAGGCCAATATTGCAATATTGTAATAGTATGGTGTGTTTGTGCTTGTGTGTGTGTGTGTGGGGGGGGGGGGGGTCCTAAAGTCACTGATAATATCCTCAACTATATCAAATTAACAAGTAAAATGATTCAGTAGTAATCACTTACATAAACCGTGTATAGAGTAACCTTTCACACAGTGCTGCTATCCCAGCAAACAGTTTGTAGTCAATGCTAGTGTTTTCATCCAGCTGTACCAGGGAGCACACATCCTGGAAGGTCTCCTTGCTGATTGGATGAGCAAGAACGTCATTTAGAACTGTGTCTAATTTCTGTAATAAATAAAAAAGGAGAGTTAGATATTTTCTGAAAAAATCAACAAAAGGAAAAAATTGGGTTTCAATGCTGTAACATTGTCTGTCATGTTTGACTAATGATATTTAGTAACTAAGAAAGAAATAATCTATTTTATCATTATAGGATTAGTTTTGTTTGCTTTCTACACTTGTTTAAAAATGTCAATTTTTCTGCCAAATTGATATATATGCCTGTGGAGTGGTGATTGTAAGTTCTCAACCTAATATACACAACCTAGCTTACATAATGATTTGTCACTAAATCAATTCATTTCTCATACACAATACTAATGTCTATATGATATTGAACAGATTGTGTCCACATTTTATAAAAGTTGATTACCTGGAATGTAACATTGAAAGTCTTCTCCCTATGTTTGTCAAAGAACTTTTTATAGATTGCTGTGCGCTTTGATGAAACTTTACAGTACTCTCTGAGGTAGTCTTGTGGACTCATTGCTGAAAAAAGAATTATTCAAATAATGATACTTCTATTTCATCTCCTAACTTTTTAACAAACAAAAAATCAATCTTCTTTTCAAATATTTTCACTTTGTGCCCTTTGCAAATAATCTTTCAATATCTTTAGTTAAATGTTATTTTCCACTTTACTGATGAAAGGTCATACGTACTTTCCAGTAACTTCATGTCCATTGGTAGTTCAAATCTGCTGGCTTGCTTAGACAGTGCCATTCTTGTGCTCATCCAGTTTTGTCCTTTTGGTCGCTTTAAGAAAGAAATGAAAATGATTTAGTCGTATTAAGCTCGTGTTTCAATTTACCTTTTGTATATAACCTACATTCTGAAATAATCCTGGACAAATCTGAAATACCTGGGAATGTGTATGTACATTAATATCTTATATTCCCATCTATAATAACTAAGTAATACAGTGCAACTACTGTTTACACCTTTAAGTCCCCTTAAATCATTAATATGTCTGTAAAATGTTGCTTGATATTACACACTTGCTCTTTTATATTGTATTTTTTTTTACATATATTGATAGTAGTACTTTCATAACATAGTACATGTTACTATTCCTGTAATATGATTATAGGTTGCTCTAGATTATGGTTACAAAGTATTCAACAGAGCACAAAATAGAATGGTGGTAGACTTAAGGGAGGGCAACTCGAGGTGATCAAATAACCTAAAAAAAAAAAAAAACTCATCCACATTTCATTAGTATCTTCTATGTTGAAATAACATAAGTAAAATGTAAGATGTGGTATGCTCACCTGAAAACCCTGATCATTTGATTCCATCATTTCATACTCTCTTCTCCTCAATTTCATCTCAAGATCCAACAGTTCCTACAAAACCAAGGTTAACAGTTACAAAATAAGTCTGCCGTATGTTTTACAGGAGTGATTAATTTTTGTAAAGCCTAGTGTGATATCTTCTTTTTAAGTCTCTTTAAATACACCAGGCCAGCATGAATAGTTGTTCCATAATATCTCAGCAGAAAGAAACACTAAAGCCACGCCAATCAGCACCCACACAGAGTATAACTTTGATCCTAGGTACACAGTTGAAAGCCAGGGACAAATGAGTACTTTAAGGATTTGAAAAGAAATTTAATCAAATGCTTCCTTATTGGATGTTGGGTGTGATCTTTGGCTGATCCCATATGTGACTGCAATATGAAATGTATATTTACTGACTAATCTCCACTGAACCACAACTTTCATACCCTATAATTTAGTTTTACGAATTCATAAGATAAAATGACAAATGAAATGACTAAAGATCCAGTAACACCCAGAGAGGATAACTTTAAGAATCAATCATTTTATGTCAAATTTATCAGAATCATAAAATAAAGAAAAGAGAGAAACAAAGAGGAAGAAAAATTCCAGAATCTTTCATGCCTTAGATTCTAAGTTAAAAGCACTCTGAATCAAACCATTTCTATAAAACTGCCTTTGTATAAAACTGAAAAATGTAATAAAATGTACCCTTGATTTTCCAGTTCTTGTCAGCTTGTCATCTTCCAGCTGTATATTTTTATAATCACAACATAACAATTAGCATCCATTTTATAATATATCTTTCACTATTTTCAAATATAGTGACATTTGGCCTTTAGCTAATATGATAATAAAAATACCCTTGACAATAAAAAGCAAAATGGTGTAGCACCATTGTAACTCAAGAGTGTATAACAAGTAATAGTAACTAATTATCTGCAGCCAATAAATACAACAATTTGTCAACATATAAATGAACCGTCCATAAACCCTTTGCAAAATCTATTAAATTACATGTCCACATCATTTACATACACCAATGAGATTCAAAAATACTTTCTGTGCATATCTCACTTGAATGATTTTGTCAAATGAAAAAATATTATGCAATGTTCATTTGCAGTTTTTATACCATTCACACTCAAAATAACCAACCTGCTCCTCAGCTTCTGCTTCAGCTTTTTCTTTTGCTTCTTTTTCATCTTTCTTTTCTTTCTTTTTCTGTTTCTTTATTTTTGAGAAAGGTATCAAAGTATACACTACATTAAATCTATTGTTAAATACATATACTCTAATTAGATAACGTTATCTAAAATATTGAGCTTAAATCTGTAAATATTATTTTATCTACATCAGAATGCACATTCTCTAAAGTATACAATGCCCTTACAGGTAAACTATTTGGAAGATTATTAACATTATTTTCTTTTCTTCTGTTCACAATCTTCATTAAGTCATTTCCACCTCAATCATAAATTAAAATAAATTTTCATGCAAAGGTGATTGCCTTCTTAAAATTAACTTATAAGAACATTTTTGCACTCAAAAATGAATGTTAGATTTAAGAGTGATTGATTTATACAAGGACAGACTTTTATATTTAGGGAATCTCAAAGGGAAATAAGATTTTCATATAATTTCAACTGCAATATTTTCAAAGTCATTGTACCATTTTGATTTTGAAACCAGAAAAGCATAGTCATTGTATTTGATTTACACTGTGCTTTTCAAGTGAGGAAGCCACCTTGCAAAGAAAGATTACAGTTGTTAACATAATTTATCTAAAGTAAGATGGAATTTTCTAACAACATAAATAAATTATCAACCTTTCATTTACATGCTTAAACTAAAATTTGTCATCAAAATTAAGACTAAAACATAGAAGAATAGGACCCCAAAAGAAAAAAGACTGCTTGCCTACTGCAACACACTGATTTTCAGAGTTAGGCAATGCCTTTCTTCTACAGACCATAGGTTTGTGTTTACTGTTAATTAATGCCAGTATATCAAGTATATGCTTGGGTCCCAAAGATTTTTAGATCACTGAATCTCAAGTGTGCAGTTCTAAATAAATTTTAATAACATACAGCATTAGATTAAAAAAAATCAACAGAGAAAAACACGAATCAAGTAACTGAAATAAATCCCATATTCTCTCATAGTCATCAAATAACTTCAGTTTAAAACTCATCCATATTGTAAAAATAAATTCTACTGCAAAGAACAAAATCACAGATCATGCACTTCAGCCATAAGTCCACTCCGTTTCCACATCTAACCTTTTTCAATTTTGTCATTTTTGATTTATCTCCTTTTTTCTTGGTCTTTCCTTTTCCTGCGGCTTTAGGGGTCACTGCACGCTGTTCTTTAGGAGCCTCCATTTCAGTTTCCTCCATGTCATCTGCCTCCACAGCAGCCCCATCACTGTCTCCATCCTGACCGGCATATAGCATTCTCTTCTATATATATTCTACCTCTACCACACACTCATACACATTCTGGTATTATGCCAATATCTAACCATACTTCTCTCAAATGCCTCTTTAAGTGGGATATAATCAATATCATTAATTGCACGGAAATGCAGCAAAAAATGCAGTCAGTTCACAACAATAGTACCAAATATATCTGCCATACATGAGAATCAATCTCCATTTGCAATTTTAAGTGCTTAACATTGTCACAGCCCTGAGGGAAGCGACAGACCCTGATTTTGTTAGACACCGTTTTTTGTCTCATTATGAAAAAAAAAAACCTACAGCAATCAAATACTGTAGAATACTGTTAACTGGAACACATGAATGGTTATCTAGATAGGGTGGTGAAAAAACTCAAAGCCATATTACTGCTAAAAGATGTGAGTTAGTAAGCAATGAAAAGAAGGTTATTTTGTCTTACCAGAGGGTCTACCTTGACCACATCTACTCCTCCCTGTATTGGGTGTTTGGGTGGAGTGGGTGTCGGCTGCTTCACCGGGGTGGCAGGTCTCTCAGCTGGTTTGAGTTCTGGAAGGTCTGGGGGTCCTACCACGGGACGCTCTTTTACCTGAGGCTTACTGCAAATAAGAGATTATTACGGTGAAATTTAGTATATCTAGCAAGCAAAAATTCAATGTTAAAATCTGACCTATAGAATCCAATGAGTGCTCTTTTTACCCCTATTTACAAATATAAATACATAGCATGAAATCAATACCAAAATCCTTTTAAAAATATATATTTATACATTACATTTCAATCATCACAATTAAGCACTGAAGAAAAGTCCACAACATATACTAGGTAGTCCAGCATAGCAGTTTCTATGCAACAAGCCAGTGGTAACATTTAGCACAAGTATAAGTGGAAAATAATGACCCAAGGTACACAAAAATATCTATAATCACAAGAAAACTGAGACTAATATTTAAATAATTGCTCTATCCATTTTACACTGAATTCTATCTTACTGAGAGGGTTGTAAAAGATATGGGTGGTGTACATTTTACCAAAATGTCTGCCTTAATGTTTAACTTCTACCTCACCCCATACGCAGAAATTTAAATTCTTTAATTCCCAGCTAAGCAACTGTCACCTAACAGATAAATCGATGTAAAAAATAATAAGACATTGAAAAAGTTAAAAACAATAAAACTTACTTACTTTTCCCTTGCACTATCACTAAATGTTAAAACCTTATGTATGGCAATGCATTTAACTGTGCGCCACTTACGACTTGGTTGCTAATAACTCTGACTGTCATGGATTGGACGTTTACTGGATTTAATATCTGCTGTATAACTTATGAAAATATTTGCAGAAGCTTAGCCAGCTCTGCTGGCCCATGAAATTTACAATAGATAAACTCAATCGCTTAACAGCCTTGTTTGACGACAAGTGCGTGCTTTTTGTTGAGGTCTTTGCTAATGATGTGAGTAAGTTTGAATAACCTGTGCCATTGCAAGCCATGGCCCACTACTGTAAAACTATTTACATACTGTGAAAAGTATAGAATCCATTAAAATATATATTTATTTCCTGGCATTCCGCACCTAAATGCTACATATACTGGTACTTGCTTTTTTTATTAGAATATGTTGCTTTATTTCTTTCTACATTTTGTGAAATAAAATAATTAAGCTGAGTAAATTCTCAATTTTTCAGCAGTCAATATTATAGTGGTAACTGCAGAGTACTGGCAATTGAGCTGTTGAAGTTTCATTTGGTGGTAACCAACAGTAACTGCAAACAAGCAATTTCATTGGTGGGATGTCTGGTTAACGTTAGTTTCTATCTTCAGTCAGCAACATGAGTGTAGTGATCTATTTTACATATTATATGTCTATATGGACTACAGATTACAGACAAGAAGATTAAAAACATTTTCTATCACTGCGCAGACTGATTAGTTAAAAAATATATCAAAATGAAAAGATGTGTATCTGTTTTTGCTTTGGGTGGGAAAATCATGACTCAATTCTGTTACATTATCATAAAAATAAACTTCTGGTGAGATTGCTCTACTCATTTCACAGCCAAATAATGTAGCATGGCGATAAAACAAAATTATGAACTTCCTTCAGCTAGAAGGTAAATTCATCTGGGGTACACATGACTTAAAATCACAGTAAAGAAAAAATGGATAAGACTTTTAAAAATTTTAAAAATTGATCTATGAACATGCAAACAAACTTTAATAAAACTTTCTAAAAAATTAAAACAGGCAAAACACAAATTGGACATACTACAGGAAATGTGTTGATAATGTGATCAAAATATTTTGATATAAAAATTCAATGCTAATTTGACCCCTATTCCTATAGATAAGATGCATAGTTTCACATCTTGTTACATGCTTATAATCTTCAGGAAACAAATAATTATGGAGGGTGTAGAGTCTTAGCTACACCAACTAGAATTTTTGTATGGACATACTGGCTCTTAGACAATGAAAATGGTTGAGCTGAATATTTACAATCAAATAATTTTTTTCTTGCTATAATCCTGTAAAATAAGGTCAGTTAAAATAACCAAATGATGAAAAAAGCTACCTGCCACACACAGATTTATGGAATGTTACAGGCAGATCAGAGTGGCAGAGTTCAGTGCTGCCACCTTGAGACAACATCACAAACTACAGGTCTCTTCACCATAATCCTGAACAAACATAAAAGGTAATTCACCTCCTTATCAGACAGATAGGGCCATCCTAATCCTTTTATCATGTCAAATAACAGAATCATCACTCAATCAATTATACGTCATTAAAATGCTATCCAATTATTTTTGATTTTCTTATATTGATAACAATAACCCTAGCATAATTTACAGTACTTATGTCCCTTTTCCACTACAATCTTATTTAGCACTCCTGTAGCCAGCATTTTCAAAGCAGGAGTTCTTTTTCTGAAAAAGTGGACCTTATACCTAGGTACCCTTGTGTACCTAGATCAAGTTTTACCCAGAGCAGACCTTTTCCCAGCAAAAAGGACAGTTTTTTCGAACCCCCCAAACTCCCCTTGGCTGCGACCCTAATTACACTGTATCTTACCTCTCCTCCACTGGTTCAGGTGGTGGTGGGGGTGGTGGGGGTTCAGGCTCTGCTGCTTTCACGGGTTCTGGAGGCTCCATTTCTCTTTTCTGTCTCTCCCTCTCCACTGGCCGTTTCTCTTTCTTCACGCAGACTCTTTTTGGATTTTCTACAGGCTTATGTTTTTCCACTGGCTTTGGAAGTGGGGGTGGGACTGGTTTCTTCTGAAATTGAGAAGAAACAACTCTTAAACATTATAGTTCTTATCATATTTGAATTTGGTTGATAAAATGAGACACACATACATGTCTGTAGTCATTTCTTACAGAAAACAGAAGAAAACCCACCTGCTTAAATTGCTTGTTTTCAGTTATTTGATGTCATCAAAAATGATGGTAACTTTATCAGCAACCATCCAAAATCCCATCAAACATATCTATCAATATTTTTTCAATTAGTGGATGAAAAAAGGAAACGAGATATTCAGTCAATATTTTTCTAATCCACTTCACAGTCATTGGAAGAGAACATCCCACAGTTCTTCCAATTTTTTATTCCTAAACTGATATTTTACCAGAGTAAAACTCACATCTCTATCAATGTATCTGCAAATGACAGCATCGATTTTAATTCTGTCTTTTATTACAGCTCTTTCCTTTGACAAGCCATTTATGTAAGGAAAAAAACACACCTAACAGCTTTATTAATACATTTGAAAAACGACTCTTTGTTAGGAATACAGGATGTCTATTTAACCTGTCTTAACACACATGCTCAATCACAGCGACAGTCTCCGGAGTGTTTTCAATGCATTTTTAATACAAAGTAACCTGAAAGCACTGTCTGCCATGTTTTACCAGTGCATACATCAATGCAGCTTGAGGGGACCACTTACTTCTTTCAATTACAGAAAAAAAGGGGGAAGAGAAGTAAAAAGCATAACTTTAAGCATTATAAAGAAGGTTAAATAAAAAATGCATTATCATTTTCAACATTGTACTTATTTATACCAACCTGAGGGACCTCTGAAACCAAAATCACAAAAGTTTAAGGTGAATTGTTGGACTAAAAAACTCCATCATAACAGCTATGGATTGAATTTTGTAGACTTTTCCCTTCAAGTCCGATGTTAGCTTGAAATCCAAATCACTGTATCCAAGTATTAATTATTCGGAATCATTTCATGTCACCAAAACCATTTAATAGTCGTCTTTTTGTACAGCTAATATCCTGAAAATACTATTTTTAAGGCTATCCAGGTAAGCTATAATTACAAAATTTGTTTCAGCAAGTCACACAAAATAGACCTACTTTTCATTTAACAAGCCAATTTTGAATAGGTGACTTAGGTGCATAGCATTTTTTTTCTTATTCACAAAAATATACTTTGAACTAAAGTTACCCATTCTCAGCTTACAAGTATTATACACAGTCAGGTTTTGGTAACTAAAAATACATGGGATTCTTTCAAATTAAATGCCTACACATGGAGGAACCCTATTTTCATACAGCAATTTTTCTGTTTGAATAAAAATAAAACAATGGTACATGTACCTTGTTTTGGAAATAGGACAGCATGAAACTGCAATAACTGAAAAGTTTTGAGATAAACATCTTCAGTGTTCTTGGAAATCAGTGAGGGGAAAATGTACTTTGTAAACTAACCATTCAATGTTGGTTTTAAACTAGGCAGATGCAGACATCGCAGATATCATACCAAACCTCCAGTTTCACTCAGCTACAAATTTAATAATAAACTTATAGGTAACATAAAGCAATATATCGGCTCAAAAAATGATAATAAATATAAGTAACATATAATGATATATCGGCCACAAATTTAATAAGTTTAGATGAAACAATCTATTTACAAAACAGAAAAAGTTAACATTTGTAAACACATCTCTCTTTCATTTTCACTCCTTTCACAGTGTAACAAACTTTCTTTGAAACAAAATCTCCAAGACAGTGTTTACAACCCCCAGGCAATCAAAAAATTAAGCCCTCTGCATGTTTATTTCTAGCAAATATATGATCTGGTAAACTTAATTTACCTCGACCTCTTTCCTGTATCATAAGCCTAATCCAAAAGCTAACAGCTGCTTACTTAAACATCAATATAATCATTACAAAAGAGCAAGTTCTACTCTCTCATTTAAACCTAAAACTTAGCTACAAATCTCACCTTAAAGTTACCTTCTTAGCTAAGCTTCTTACCGTACTTGGTAAGCTGTATCAGTGTGGGAGTTCTGCACACTTCAAACTGTGAGAAGATGTTGTACCACTCAGGAGTAAACATCAAATCATGTCTTTCTATAGTATTGGCTCAGGCATCTACACTCAGGTAGAAGACAATCGTATTGGCAAATGGTCAATGTAAATTGATTTTTCTTACTTCCAATATTTGTTTCCCATTATAAATCACCATTGGCTAAAAAGCCACACAAAAGCTTCATAGCAACATTGCATTAATATTTCAGCAGTTGATTCTTGAGGCAAATGATCAAGATGCTGACAAAATGATCACGCTAGCAATCACAAATGACATGGGAAGTATCTTTGTTGCCGAAAAGCAGTACTTTCAATATTTGCAATGCTAATTTAATATCATTTTCCTGATCTATAAATGTCAGGGATCATGTTATGAATGACTCAACTTTTCAACTGAAATATCTTTTTTTTTCTTTTTTACTTGAAACCATAAAACTATATAACAAAACATTAGCATCCAAAAGCTTAACAGCTGTTCAAAGTGAGTGCAAATACCAGCAATATACATTCTGCAAAATACACATTTCAAAAAATACAATCCAATATCTTCAAGTGTTGTTGAGGTTGTATGTCTCCCCTGGGAGAGCTGGTGATATTGTACGAACATGTCGATTATGCCTGGGATAAGTTTACTTATAAGATTACCACACAGTTGCCAAGGATTAAAAGATTATTGGGAGCCTTTTGCTAGCTGTACCTTTTGTATTAATTCATAAATCAATCAATTAACAAATTCTAGTAGTTAATGTGAGAGTGGTGGGGGGCAGGAGACTGTCTTCTAGGATAAAGATGACTCACACATGTCTTTGTATGTGCGACTATTAAAACGCCCTTATGGATTATACAATAAATATGTTCTGATTAATGACAGGTAAAATTTTTTGAGACACAAATACAATTTATGGTCCAAGCAATTCACCAGTGAACACCCTATCAGGCATTTCATCATAACCATTGACACGATGCAACTTTATAATTCTTTAAATACCTCATTTCAAAGACTCCACAAAGATATTTCCTTCTTAGGCAATGGATTTGATAAAACTACTCCAGAAAAACAATAAGTATAAGACAACAAAAACACCTATTCAAAGAGTAACTTTATAGCAAAAAGCCAGAGAGATTTTGTTTTAGTCCCATATCATTTAAGTCAATTTCAAATGTTACAAATACAAAATATGATTATGTTAAGTACTTACAACTGCTTAAAACAAACCCTGCTGCATAAGGAGTTTTACCGAGGCTCTCACTGAATCACATATTTGGTGACAATCTTGTGTGGCGCCTGTCCCAGCCTTGTGGTCTAAGTTAAAACTGATACAGATACTGGCCCTGATCAATACACACTAGTATCACACACCCCACAACAACACTGCTGATATGTACTACCATATCTACCCACCCTTATCAAACTAACATAAAATTTCTTTCAACAATACACACCTATTAAATTTTATTGGTCTGATTAGAAAACATGTGCGAGCAGTCCATAAAGAGTGATACATCAGGAATTAGATACTTGACACAGAAAATACCCACAGTAGCACTGTGTTATTAAAAGAAACAGCAGTATGGTTTCTGATAACAGTTTGGTAGGTGTGTGCTGTAGGTTGGAAGCTGCCAGGCCAGAAAACTATGCTTTTCATATGCGTGGAATTGATACTAGTGATCAAAACAATTTAACTGGGTCTAGCTTAACTGTTCAAATTTGTTGTGAATCAATATTCATTTGTATAAACAGTGATTGAAAAGGTGGCATGTTAAAGTACTTGCCAGAAGGCTCTTTGTTAATTCTAATACAATCAATGTGTAACATCAGACAGTGAATGCTAAATAAGTATGCAACTAGGCAATCAGGGAAGGGATTAATGAACTGATTCACAGGTAATAAATATCTCTAATCACATGTTTCCATGTTGCCGTAGATGTATTTATTTTGTGATTTTCCTTGTATCCTCAAGGAAAATGTGGCTAGCCAAAAAGCTCTTAGGAAAAATTCAACATAATATTTAATAACCTTGAATTTTCAATAAAAAAAAGTTAAGTGTTTTTATTTCAAGGTAATTATCCTTTTAAATCAATCATGTCACTAACACAACTTTTGTAAGTGGAGAGGTAATAACATATACCATCTACTGGCAGCGAATGAACATTTGTTAAAACATGCTACATAATCATATTCAGCAATAAATAGATTTAAAAATATTAAATGTAAAGAGGGCAAGTCTGTGACCAGACATCAACCTAAAAATTGGCTTTCAACCAAGGAAACTTAAAATTTCTTTTATTTATTTATTCAAGATAGTAGAACTTACCACAGGTGGTGTTTCCATCCAGACACTGCAGGGTTTTGGTCGGGGATGGAGGGGTGGGTGTGGAATTGGAGGTGGTGTGATATTACGTATTTCAGAATCATTCTGGAATTCAGGTTCTGAAAGAGAAAAAACGTTTTTTTAATCACCTAATGTATACTGCCCCTTGCATATGAGTTTTTTTTTCAATAAAAAATTCAAAATTACATCATTCAAAATTAGCTCTTAAAAGCTTTAAGTAATTTTTTTCTACACTGGAAATCTTTTACAAAAGAATGTAGGTAAATGCATACAAGTGATGTGGTAAGACAAACCATGAAAGCTGTTAAATTTTTGTGCTAAATTTTACTTATATATGCAATGCTGAAATAGTTTTTCTGCACATGCACTTGATGTAATGCATATTCTTTAGAAAATATTCACATAATACATATGCTCAGAATATACTCACTACAACCTATCATAAAAGTGACTGGTGGATCCAATCTACAATTCAGGCTGTGTATGAAACCAGCTTTTTAATATTTTCTTGTATATTTTGAAAACAGAAAAAATTCATCAAACTTGTCAATATAAAAAAGGTTAAAAACTTACCATTTTCTTTATCCACAATGGTAACATCTAAAACAGAAAAAAAAGAAGTAATCATTTCTAAAGTTCCTCATTACCCTACATCATCAATTTACATCACTGAACAAATCATCCATTTAAATATCAAACATATCACATCTTTTTACTTCTAAAATGATTCTTTTCTTGGGCCACAGAACAAAATTATATGGAGAGGCATTAACATCAAACCCATCACATTTAATTTCTAAAACTTTTCTTTTCTCAAGTCACAAAATGAAATTATATGGACCGCACATGTTAATCTTTACAACTTACCTATCTTTTCATCCCAGTCATCCTCTTCTTTCACCTCCACCTCGGAAACCGCAGGTGATTCAGGTCGCACATATTCTGGCTCCGTGGAGGGCCTGGCAGACCTACGTCCGCCGTGTCCCTGACTGCTGCTGTCTTTCCTGTCAATATCTACATCAGAGTATTGGTGATGGTGGTGGTGATGATCATGGTGATGAATCTCTGTGGAATGGTCACGCTCATGAAGTATGGCACTCTGGACGAAGTTGCAGAAATGGGGAATGTGGCCACGGGTTACCTGGTAGCGGAATAAAAAAATCAGAATTGTATGGATATAATTGTACTTCTTCTTATTAATCTTATATGTACATGTAATAATCAACCTATTTATTAATAATAGATATACGAAAAAAACAGAGTTGATATGATTTTATGTGTTGAATGTTTTTAAAATAAAGTGAAATGTACAAAGCATGAAATCATGCACTGTTAAGTCATCTTTTTTCGGTTAGTCAGTTCTCACATTCTCACACTCTGACAAACAATATAAATAAAATATTGACCACCTGTGTAAATATCATGATTTTGTTACATATGAATGGTGTCACATCAAACCAAACAAATTGGCTTTGAGGTTACTACCTCTAGGTGATACTTTTTATGAACAGAATAAACCAATCCCCTTTTAAAGGTATATGTCTAAAAGACTAAAATGTAACGAAATTAAAACATTTATCAAGCCCCCACCACTGGGCGAGTACTTAAACTTTAAATAAGTAGCTACTTCAGAAAGATTTTTTCTCTACAGACAAGTTAATCAAAAACAATCCATTATCCAAAAACAACATATAAGGGGCAAGAATCCTAGTTCAAACAGTAAAAGTAGATAAGCGCTAGCAATTAGTCGATAAAATCTGCATTAAATCAGTGTTAATGTACCCCATGCAGTGCTTTAATGTGGCAACAAACATGCTATCTAATTTATGATTACTTCCTGGCATAAAAGAAATAAGTGCAGAGAAACTTATTTTCAAAATGTTGTAATTAATAATTAGTTTTTAATTCTTGTTACTGGTCAATTAGTTACTTCCCATTATTATTCTTTTGGCAAATACAACATTTAAATGTATATAGTTAGTAATATTTATCAAGTCTGCAACATTAGTGACATTAATCAAGACTACTACTCACTGGCTCACGCTCAGCCAACCCTCTCTGGAAGAATAATTTTGTTTATCAACTATTAAATTCCCTTCTTTGCATCTTGAAATTTAATATGTATCATTTCACTTGTTAAAAGAAATGATACAGTTCCAAATACCTTTTTTTTTTCATTATAAAATCATTAGATCAGCTTTAAAATAATTTCTCTAACATCTAACCTTTATTATCAATCATTATTCAGTATTTGTAACACTATAAATAATTCTCTTTTCTTTCTACATCAACCCTTCAGAAGACTGAGAAAAACAAACAAACTAAAAAAAAAACATAAATATATTTGTACCCTTCCTCCTGGAGGTGCAGTGCTGGGTCTAGCAGGTCTGGTGTAAGCAATATATTGTTCATATTCTGTCTCTGGCGGGTCTCTCACTCCAGCTGCTGAACGCGGGCGACTGCCTGGAGAAACCACAGTACTGTTGGTCCCATATGCACAATCCCCCATAGGGCAGCGGAATTCTCCACAGTGGCGGCATGCTGTTTGGGGTCTAGTGAGGAGAAGCTGTAGGTGGATATGTGTATGGTCAAAACATCGAGCATGTCTGTCTAAAAAACGATGGTTTGGATGAGGCGAAAATTCATACATGAGACGTTCATCTTCAAATGCTCTGCTGACTAGAGTATAGCTTTTCTTGTTGAGAGATACGGCACTGGCAGGCCGTCTGGGTCCTGCACTCCATGCCCTTCTCTTTTTGCCNCTTTCACCTCCACCTCGGAAACCGCAGGTGATTCAGGTCGCACATATTCTGGCTCCGTGGAGGGCCTGGCAGACCTACGTCCGCCGTGTCCCTGACTGCTGCTGTCTTTCCTGTCAATATCTACATCAGAGTATTGGTGATGGTGGTGGTGATGATCATGGTGATGAATCTCTGTGGAATGGTCACGCTCATGAAGTATGGCACTCTGGACGAAGTTGCAGAAATGGGGAATGTGGCCACGGGTTACCTGGTAGCGGAATAAAAAAATCAGAATTGTATGGATATAATTGTACTTCTTCTTATTAATCTTATATGTACATGTAATAATCAACCTATTTATTAATAATAGATATACGAAAAAAAACAGAGTTGATATGATTTTATGTGTTGAATGTTTTTAAAATAAAGTGAAATGTACAAAGCATGAAATCATGCACTGTTAAGTCATCTTTTTTCGGTTAGTCAGTTCTCACATTCTCACACTCTGACAAACAATATAAATAAAATATTGACCACCTGTGTAAATATCATGATTTTGTTACATATGAATGGTGTCACATCAAACCAAACAAATTGGCTTTGAGGTTACTACCTCTAGGTGATACTTTTTATGAACAGAATAAACCAATCCCCTTTTAAAGGTATATGTCTAAAAGACTAAAATGTAACGAAATTAAAACATTTATCAAGCCCCCACCACTGGGCGAGTACTTAAACTTTAAATAAGTAGCTACTTCAGAAAGATTTTTTCTCTACAGACAAGTTAATCAAAAACAATCCATTATCCAAAAACAACATATAAGGGGCAAGAATCCTAGTTCAAACAGTAAAAGTAGATAAGCGCTAGCAATTAGTCGATAAAATCTGCATTAAATCAGTGTTAATGTACCCCATGCAGTGCTTTAATGTGGCAACAAACATGCTATCTAATTTATGATTACTTCCTGGCATAAAAGAAATAAGTGCAGAGAAACTTATTTTCAAAATGTTGTAATTAATAATTAGTTTTTAATTCTTGTTACTGGTCAATTAGTTACTTCCCATTATTATTCTTTTGGCAAATACAACATTTAAATGTATATAGTTAGTAATATTTATCAAGTCTGCAACATTAGTGACATTAATCAAGACTACTACTCACTGGCTCACGCTCAGCCAACCCTCTCTGGAAGAATAATTTTGTTTATCAACTATTAAATTCCCTTCTTTGCATCTTGAAATTTAATATGTATCATTTCACTTGTTAAAAGAAATGATACAGTTCCAAATACCTTTTTTTTTTCATTATAAAATCATTAGATCAGCTTTAAAATAATTTCTCTAACATCTAACCTTTATTATCAATCATTATTCAGTATTTGTAACACTATAAATAATTCTCTTTTCTTTCTACATCAACCCTTCAGAAGACTGAGAAAAACAAACAAACTAAAAAAAAAACATAAATATATTTGTACCCTTCCTCCTGGAGGTGCAGTGCTGGGTCTAGCAGGTCTGGTGTAAGCAATATATTGTTCATATTCTGTCTCTGGCGGGTCTCTCACTCCAGCTGCTGAACGCGGGCGACTGCCTGGAGAAACCACAGTACTGTTGGTCCCATATGCACAATCCCCCATAGGGCAGCGGAATTCTCCACAGTGGCGGCATGCTGTTTGGGGTCTAGTGAGGAGAAGCTGTAGGTGGATATGTGTATGGTCAAAACATCGAGCATGTCTGTCTAAAAAACGATGGTTTGGATGAGGCGAAAATTCATACATGAGACGTTCATCTTCAAATGCTCTGCTGACTAGAGTATAGCTTTTCTTGTTGAGAGATACGGCACTGGCAGGCCGTCTGGGTCCTGCACTCCATGCCCTTCTCTTTTTGCCGTCTTCTCCAGGCAGAACCTTCCAAGGTCGGCCACTAGAGGGCCGCTGTGCACTGAGAGGCCTGGGTTTCCTCCATCCCCCTGTTACAGTGGCAGACTGCGGCCTGGGAGGCGTGGTTCTACTGTAGGCTGAGTAGGCTGCTGAAGCGCTCTTTGGTCTCTGTCTTACTTGTTGGGCTTGTTTCTGCACTGGGGTAGAAGTTTTCAAATCAGTGCTGAGGTGCACATCGTCTTCTGCACAAAGTAAAAAGTTTGTTTCACCATCCTTTGTTGTTCTGCCATATTTCTTGCTTTGGAGTGTGTTGGAATATCCACGGGCTACCCAAGGAATGGAAGCATCTAGATCAGCAGGGTTTTCCATAACTGCTCTCTGACGACAAATTAATCACCGAATCCTCTCCGTTCTCCATCAGTCTTGTACTCTCAATCCATGATGATAGGTCTTTTTAAGAATCAAGTACCTGTATAAACAAAATTATAATTGATTTTTTTACCACATTAAATCTGTAACAATATAGATATAATTGTATGTAAACAGTAAACAATACCCTTAAGAGTAACTCTAGAACACTCACCATTCATTCAGTGTTCAATATTGTTGACAAATGCACCCCTCCATTGTCAATTGTTTTGATAAAATACTAGTAAATCAGGTGAGACACTGGTGAATTGCTGGTACTGCCAGGCAGTTTTACACACTTTTACTCTCTTTTAACATTACACATATTGAGCAAATAATCAATAATTTAAGGTATGTATAATGTACGTACTAGTACTGCTACTACTATTAAATTTTTTATTAAAATTACATTAAATTACTACAGGCACGTACCGTCCGATACTGTATGTTAAAATTTCACTTAAAATATTATAGTTATCAAAGTGAAGCAACAACCCTATTGTTCATCAACATCAATAACAAACTTTACATTTTGGCTAGTGGCAATAGGAGTTAGATGCACTGTACTAATGTTGGACTGCTTGTGCTACACCGGAAGCGGGGTCCTTTAAAAAACATAGNTTCAAAAACAACATATAAGGGGCAAGAATCCTAGTTCAAACAGTAAAAGTAGATAAGCGCTAGCAATTAGTCGATAAAATCTGCATTAAATCAGTGTTAATGTACCCCATGCAGTGCTTTAATGTGGCAACAAACATGCTATCTAATTTATGATTACGTCCTGGCATAAAAGAAATAAGTGCAGAGAAACTTATTTTCAAAATGTTGTTAAATAGTTTTTAATTCTTGTTACTGGTCAATTAGTTATTTCCCATTATTATTCTTTTGGCAAATACAACATTTAAATGTATATAGTTAGTAATATTTATCAAGTCTGCAACATTAGTGAGAATAGTGACATTAATCAAGACTACTACTCACTGGCTCACGCTCAGCCAACCCTCTCTGGAAGAATAATTTTGTTTATCAACTATTAAATTCCCTTCTTTGCATCTTGAAATTTAATATGTATCATTTCACTTGCTAAAAGAAATGATAAAGTTCCGTGGAACATCTAACCTTTATTATCAATCATTATTCAGTTTTTGTAACACTATAAATAATTCTCTTTTCTTTCTACATCAACCCTTCATAAGATTGAAATAAACAAAAAAAAAAATAAAAAAATAAAAAAAAACATAAATATATTTGTACCCTTCCTCCTGGAGGTGCAGTGCTGGGTCTAGCAGGTCTGGTGTAAGCAATATATTGTTCATATTCTGTCTCTGGCGGGTCTCTCACTCCAGCTGCTGAACGCGGGCGACTGCCTGGAGAAACCACAGTACTGTTGGTCCCATATGCACAATCCCCCATAGGGCAGCGGAATTCTCCACAGTGGCGGCATGCTGTTTGAGGTCGAGTGAGGAGAAGCTGTAGGTGGATATGTGTGTGGTCAAAACATCGAGCATGTCTGTCTAAAAAACGATGGTTTGGATGAGGCGAAAATTCATACATGAGACGTTCATCTTCAAATGCTCTGCTGACTAGAGTAAAACTCTTCTTGTTGAGAGATACGGCACTGGCAGGCCGTCTGGGTCCTGCACTCCATGCCCTTCTCTTTTTGGCATCCTCCCCAGGCGGAACCTTCCAAGGTCGGCCACTAGAGGGCCGTTGTGCACTGAGAGGCCTGGGTTTCCTCCATCCCCCTGTTACAGTGGCAGACTGCGGCCTGGGAGGCGTGGTTCTACTGTAGGCTGAGTAGGCTGCTGAAGCACTCTTTGGTCTACGTCTTACTTGCTGGGCTTGTTTCTGCACTGGGGTAGAAGTTTTCAAATCAGTGCTGAGGTGCACATCGTCTTCTGCACAAAGTAAAAAGTTTGTTTCACCATCCTTTATTGTTCTGCCATATTTCTTGCTTTGGAGTGTGTTGGAATATCCACGGGCTACCCAAGGAATGGTAGCATCTAGTTCAGCAGTGTTTTCCATAACTGCTCTCTGATGACAAATTTATCACCGTGTCCTCTCCGTTCTCCATCAGTCTTGTACTCTCAATCCATGATGATAGGTCTTTTTAAGAATCAAGTACCTGTATAAATAAAATTATAATTGATTTTTTTACCACATTAAATCTGTAACAATATAGATATAATTGTATGTAAACAGTAAACATTACCCTTAAGAGTAACTCGAGAACACTCACCATTCATTCAGTGTTCAACATTGTTGACAAATGCACCTTTTCATTGTCAATTGTTTTGATAAAATACATGTACTAGTAAATCAGTGAGACACTGCAATGGTGAATTGCTGGTTCTACCAGACAGTTTTACACACTTTTACTCTCTTTTAACACCACACATACTGAGCAAATAATCAATAATTTAAGGTATGTACAATGTACGTACTAGTACTGCTACTACTATTTAAAATTTTAATTAAAATAACACCAAATTACTACAGGCACGTATCGACGATACTACTGTATATGTTAATATTTCATAGTTATCAAAGTGAAGAAACAACCCTTTTGTTTATCAACATCAATAACAAACTTCACATTTTGGCTAAGGGCAATCAGAGTTAGATACGCTGTCCTGTACTAATGTTGTACTGCTTGTGCTATATTCAATATATACAGGAAGCGGTATATATACTAGTACATGTATACTGAGTCTCAGTACTGAGTACATGTACATGTACAAATCTAGTCAGCTGTTTTGTACATCTCAAGTCATTTTTTCAAGCCCGTTTACACGAAATATTTTAATGTAAGTAACACCAATAGAGTAAATAATTAATTATGACTTACCAATATGCTGTGTAATCATTTTCGACAAACTTTTTGACTCTCACGCTGTGCTGTTATCACGTGACCTAATTGTGTCACTGTTGCGAGGCAGAGTAAACAGAAACGTTCAGTAGACTTCCTTAAGCCTCACTCCGTTCTAGGAAAATAGATGTCCCACGAGTGAATAAAAGAATAGTTTTTTCTATTTCATTCCGTACCCGATCCTTCAGACCAAATTCCTAGATTTAAATAACACTGGCGGTCAATAAAATCAATTCTTTTGAATCATTGCGCAGCCACTATGTTATTGCGACAGGTGCGCCCACGATTGAGCAATGAGGCGGTATTATAAAGAAATACGTAATCTTTTATGTTTCTTCCTGCGGTTTATTAAGTTACGATTGCAGATCAATATTTAAAGGGGATGGGGTGCATTTTCTGTTGATTCGAAGAAAGACAATAATTTTTTCTGAGATTCATTATTATCTGGCTTGGGTATTTTATGAAAAAAATCAGTTTCAAAAGCTAATTATGATTCGTTTCTTAGGCTCTATTCCCATAGATTTTAGATCGATCTATCCCCGCGGGGAGTCTCACTAGATTACTTTCAGATAATCCGACTTAAATGTCCGTCCCGCCTACTACAAGCTGTAAGGTGATAATTAACTTTCGTGTCCGCCCGGCTGACAGCTATTTAGCGTGGACCCCCAGGGAGTTAGGTCGATCTAAAGTAGGTCGATCTAATCTATGGAAATGGGGTGTTAAACATCTTGCAACTAAACCTGAAATTGTTAAAAGTTCAAAATCGTCCTAATCAAGGGGGTGGATAAATAAATACCCATACTGAATTTCGCCCGTCACCATCTTTAAATATAAATTAAGGAAGAGCACATATAAGAATCTACAAGCTGTCAATTTAAATAAGAAGTTTAAGAAACTCACTGCTCCTAAGTTTTTGGCAATCATTGCCAGGTAGTTCTTGATTCCCCCTAGCATTTTAATACACTGCGGACACGGTCCTGCCTCAGAGTTTGTTGACGCTGCTAAAATGGCCAATAACTTATCTTCCTCATCACCGTCACTGTCTTCCCCTGATATTTGGTCAAATGGGTCTATCTGAAGGAGAGTAGGGTCTGCAAACGAGTCGATGTATTCCGGAATATCATCAATATCTTCTACACCGTTATTGATGCCAGATCTTTGATTTTCATTTTCTGCAGAATCCAACATTT